ATGTACTTTTTCTCTCAGTACAGAAAAAACAGTAGAATTTGAGTTTCCAAAAAGATACCTTGTGTTTTACTTTTTTGTTTGCTTTTGTTTCTTCTTTTTTGAGACAGGGTCTCACTGTGTAGCCCAGGAGGCCTTCAACTTCAGTTCCTCCTACCTCAGCCTTTGGAGTGCTGGGATTACAAGCATATACCAGCACAGCATGACAGCCTGGTCCTCTTTTTTTTTTTAACCATACCACCTACTAAGAATTCTAAAAACAGGGAAGGTAAAACAAAACCACAAACCAAACCCTGTAATATAGTGGCCTGTACAACTTCCAGTCTGCATTCCTGTTTATCACAGAATTACCAAGAAACCCTACAAATAATTCCCCACATATAACCAATTCAAATGCCCTGCCTTCAAAAATCAATTCTTTCCAAGAACAGATATGTCTTTGAGCATATTCAGGAACTTTTTTTTTTTTTTTAAAGACAGGGTCTTCTCATGTGTTTTAGGCTGGCCTCTAACTCACAGTCGTGCCCCAGCCTCCCTAGTGCTGGGATTACAGACGTGTACTACTACACTCAGTTTATTGTGGCCTTTGTTTCTTTATGGCCTTCACTCTAAGCAATGGAGACTGATAAGCAAGAGCGACAGAACTCCTGACACTTTTGTCCCGCGACTCAGTATAGCACCCAGTAAGACGCAGGCCCATTGTGCCAAAGATCGGCTCCCTCGCCTGCATTTCAGTTTAAAGTGACGTGCAAGTGCCCAGAAGGGGTTTAATCCCGGCGGCTGGACCGCGTCCCCCTGCGGGGACGCAAGCTCCGCCCAAACCGCACCCACCCTACGCCAGGGTGGGAAAGGTTCGCGCGTGGGCGGAGCCCTCCTCCCCCGGGCGCGCGCCCCCGCGCCCCGCGCTCCCCCGCCCCCCGGCGCTCCCCGCGCCCCGCGCTCCCCCGCGCTCCCCCGCTCCCCGGCTTGCGCCCCGCGCCCCGCGCTCCCCGCCCCCCCGGCCCGCGCCCCGCGCTCCCCGCTCCCCGCCCCCGCGCCCGCGCTCGCGCTCCCCGCGGCCCGCGCTCCCCGGCCCGCGCTCCTTCCCCGCCCCCGCTCCCCCGCTCCCCGGCCCGCGCTCCCTCGCCCCGCGCTCCCCCGCTCCCCGGCCCGCGCCCCCGCTCCCCGCGCTCACCCGCTCCCCGGCCCGCGCCGGCGCCTCCGCCCGGAGCCCGCGCGCTTCCGCCCCGCGGCGGGACCCACCGTCGTCTCTCGGGTTGCCGGCCAGGATACTGCCCGCGTGCGGCGGGAGGCGCTGTTTTCCGAGCGGCCGGGCCCAAGGAGGGCGCGTTTGAAAGCTGTGTGCCGGGTTCCGGTGATTTCGAGGGCACGTGGCCCCTGCAACACGAGTTGTGGTTCAGCTTCAGCGGGCAGCGCATATGTAGATGTTTCATGGCGACAACAGCGACTTCTAGCACTTACTAGCCGTGGAGGCAGAATTAATGACCTCCCTCTTTCGCCCCCTCAAATGGCAACATCTTATTCTGAACTCTCTGTATTTGTTCCCTTACATAGCAAAGGGGCATGGTGGGGCATACCTGTAATACCAACACTAGGAAAGCTGAGGCAGGAGGATCTCGAGTTCGAGGCCAGCCTGAGCGACATAGCAAGTTCTAGGCCAGTTTGGGTTATATTAGCAACAATAATAAAAGAAGAAAAAATTGCCTTTGGAACTACTATTTGTGGAAGAAATTAAAAGACACATTATAAAGCCCAAAATATTAGGTTGAGAGGACATAACCGACAAGACCTCAGCCACATCACTGCAGATGAATTTTAACTCCGCCCAGATGTGCACCTTTCTTAGCATATTCTGAAACCCATCAGGCCAGAACTCACCACATCCTGTACGTTACATGCTGGGAATAGTTTTCATCAAAGTGGAACATTTCAATCCTATAGATAGCCACCAAGCTTTTCTTGCCCCCATTTTCCTTCCTTTCCCAGGTTATTTTTCTTTTCACTGACACTTTCAAAGAACTGGAGAACTGCCTTAGTATATTCTCTGTTCAATCCCTTTCTTACAAGACAACTTGCTACTCTGCCTGCACCAATCAACTTTTTTTTTGGAAGGAGGGGGGGTTCAGCACACTGGCCTGGAACTCATAATTCTTGTGCTTCAGCCTCCAAATGCTGACCAATCCAAATTCTTCACAACTGATGACATCTACCTCCCCACTTAAGGATTTTGCCTTTAAAATTTGTTTGAGATCTGCTTGGATCTGTTTTCCCAAGTTTCAATTCTGATCAGCCCAAACAATTAATCAATTGTGCCTCAGTTTCTCCCAAGGGTCAACAAGAAGATTGGGGAGGTGTGGCTCAGTGGTAGAGCACTAGAAGCAGGGCCGTAGGTTTATGTCCCAGAGCAGAAAAAAAAAAAAGAGGAAGCTCATTGTGGACCAACTGTATTGCGCAGCACAGAGCCAACCCATGGTTAGTTACATCATCTCTAACAGTGAGAGGTTTGGATAAATCCAAAATTCAGAATATTAGGTAAGCCAAACAGAAGTACACTGAGATGAGAGAGTTGAGGGTGGCACACCTTGGTATCTAGGCTGAATACCATTGTGAAGTAAATGAAGTCTAGACTTACACTACCCAACATGTAGACACTTCACATGTGTGGTTATTAAGCACTATTTTTTTTTTTTTTTTTGGACACAGCATCTATTTTGTAGCCCCGGCAGGCCTGGACTCCTAAGTAGCTGAATTACACGTCCATACCACCATGCACAATGTATTAAAGCACATTTTATTTTTGTGGTGCTGGGGATGGAACCCAACCCCTTGTGAATGCTAGGTAAGCACGCTACTTGCTGAGCAACACCCCAGCCCTTATTAAGCACTTTAAAAGGTGAACAGTGTGAATAGAAATAATGCTGTCAAATACAAAATGCACACAGGATTTCAAAGACTTCAACAGCACAAAAAAGTTTTAGGATCGCTAATAAGATTTTATTTTACATTGATTCCATGCTAAAATACTTTGGATGTATTGGGTTAAATAAGAAAATTGTACCTGTTCCCTTTTACTTTTCAAACCATAGCTACTATTCTAAATTATATATGTGGCTTGCAATCTATGCTTCTAGTGCTGATCCAGGGAAAAAGCATTTGAGAACCTTAAATAAAAGTCAGAGAACAAGTGTGGATGGAGCAAGGGAGAAGAAAGTTGGCAGTGGAATAGTGAAGAGAATGAGACAAATAATGTTAAGATTTCTGAAGGGGACAGTTCTTGGCATTACCAAAGTCCATGTGGTGGTCTAGGAATCAGTTACTGAAATTGGAGGAAAAGTTCATGAGACTGAGAGTGAGGAGTGACAGAGAAGTCACCGAACTAGGAGACAGTGACCTAGCTCAGGGTTTCTCAACCTCAGCACTGTTGACACTTCACTGTGACAGGTGTGTTCTATACATCATGGGATGTTCACCAGTATCTCTAGCTTCTAGCTACTAGATGCCAGCAGTGTCCACTACCCTCAGTTTTGACAACCAAAAAAAAAAAAAGTCTCCAGACTTTGAAAATGTCCAGGGCAGGGTGGGGATGGTGCAAATTTTCTGTGGTTGAGAACCATTAGTCAAGCTAAGCTGAAGGTAAAGGACTTGAGGGTGTACTCAGTGATGAAGTACTGCTTAATATGCATAAGGCCCTTCAATCCCTAGCATCACAAGAAAATAAAATAAAAATCTTAGTGTATCTCAAAGGCGAAATTCAAATTCATTCACTGTGGTTAAAAGGCATTTCATAAAATTTTTTTGTGGTGCTAAGAATCAAATCCAAGGCCTTGCATAAGCTAGGAAAAGGTCTACCACTGAGTCATAAAGTACTTGTTGAAATAAATGTCATTGGGGCTGAGAGTGTAGCTCAGTGGTCAGGTCCTGAATTCAATCCCCAGCACCAAATAAATAAGTAAATAAATCATCATTATACAGATATTTTATTGTATACTTACTGGGTACAACGTTTCAAAATAAAAATCTTACTTTCTAAAACATAAGAGGACAATAAATAATGTTATTACACAAATGGAATGAGCATAAAGACTGTGATTATCACATTCATGTTACATAGTTATTAAATTCACTTTTATAAGTCAGTTATTTGAAACTATAGAGTTGATAGAAGATGCATACCATTTAAGTATTAGTTCAGGGCCTTATAAAACATTTTTATTGATAGTATTTATGTGTAACAGAAAACTGCTTACTGTATGTAATTATCATGTGTCAGAAAACATGATTTAACAGTGACATTTTTATATTATGGAGAAAAAAGCAAGTTTAAGTACTAGTTGTTTTAGAAATGCTACCTAAAGTGAAATGACATTTATTACATATACATTCCTTCCCAAACTCCATTCTTATATAGTTTATAAACTATCAAATGAAGCTATGGATGTTAAATTTTTAACCTTAAGACTGTCAAACTACAAAAGGAACTGACTATAGATTTTGGCACTTTGGCTTTCTTATGCAAAGTACCTTCTGTTTGAAATGGGGTATTTAGTTAACTGTCTTTCTTTGGAACCTCAGTTATGATGCAAAGATAGAGGCAAAGGACCACACATACAGACTATCACGTATGAAAAGTGACAGTTATGAACCATAGGCAGTCCAAGGGATGTAACAGAGCGCAACAATCTGGTAGGAAAGTAAGCTAAACCTTCTATGTCTTAATACTTAAAGGGAGTCACTCTTACCTATTACAACTTTTAACTTTTTTTTTAGTGTTAGGAATTGAATGAGGGTCTGAGCTATGATAAGCAGCATGTACTACACTACTATTCCCAGCCCCAATTTTTGACTTCCGTACTAAGCAACAATAGGCAAAAAAATTGTCTTCTGTTTAAAAACAGAGGTGAATCAAGTTTTTAAAATATGAGTGTTAAAATGTAAATTTTATCCAGAACACCTCATTTTCTGATGATGCACCATTACTGTACTTACATTTAATAAAATGAACAAGCTAATATTCTTAAGGAACACAGTAAAAAGCTGACAAAATTCACTTATATTAAAGAAAAGTAGCCTGTTGAGATTGACAAGGTAGGACAGTTTTCCACATAGAAGGGCAATTCCTCCTGTATTATGAATATTAATAAAGAAGCTCACTGCCATGAATACTTAGATACTTGGCCAACTCCAGACCTAAGGGAAATACAAAGCCACAAAAACCATCCCAGGAGTAATAAAAACCCTCATTCCTCATGGAAGTTTTATCTCTTCTGTTGTATCTGTCTCAGAGAACATAGGGCACAGTGCTGCATTAGGGCGGCATACGAAAGCATCAGTTTCACCTCCTAACTCTGATAACTGTTCCAGTGAAGATACACAAGGATAATGGTCTTTTAACATATCTGGCAATTTAGAAGTCTTCTCTTGAAGACGTCTGGAACGTCTTACTGGTGTTAGAAACTTTAGATCTTTAAGTGCGGAATTTGTTTCATCAAGTTGCATCTTCTTTTTTATACTGAAAAAACACAAAATTATTCCCAAAATTCAAAAGCATATTAACATTTTTACTTTGTACGTCTATGCTATTTATCATACTATGACTTGAATGATCACAACCATATGACTATTTGTCCTAAGAGAAAGAGAGAGGTACTACAAGGTCCTTGAAATAAGAAACTTATGCTTTCCTCTATTCATTGTTAGAACTTGTGTCTGTAGAATCAGTTAATTCCTCAGTTTCAAAACCTACTGTTATTAGTAATATACACAGATTAAAGTACAATGATGTAAAGTTTTCTTTTCAAAGTGGCACTATTTAGGAAAACCAAAAATCAATAATGAAATGTCCCAATGACATTCCACTAGTTTGAAAACTTTTCTATGTTAACGAATGTTTTTTGTTTCTAATCTAAAGCTACGCAAAGATTTAAAAATACCATACTTAGGAGTGGTAGAGTGAATGCCCAGGATACTCAAAATCCTGGATTTGTAGCACAGGGGAAAAAAAAAATTATTATCCCTTAAGCATCTTAAGCATTAAAACAAATCACAGCACATTACATCTGAAAAGTTTACCTTTGCAAGTATGGTGTAGTAGATACATTATATTTAATTAAGCAACTTGCTCCAGTTTCTGTTTCTGGGGTTCTAAATTCATCCACTGTATCTTTTACTTTGTCATCTTGTTCTTTTATATTATCTTTAGATACCACATTTCCATGATGCTTATTCTCCATTTCCAGTTTTCCTGGCTGTAGAGTAACACCTGTATCTTCAATGTTGACCTCTTGGTTTTGCTCCTTGATTACATGAGTGTCCTCAATATTTTCTCCTGTAGAAAATACATTTACAGATTTAAGCTTTTGGCCAGGTTTTAAGAAGAAAATCATACAGTTTTTTCCTAGTAGGCCAAATTTTCATAATAAAAAGAACCAAACAGCCATCTCCTAACCATTACTTTTCCTAAGCAAATACTGCTACCAACTATATAATAAATATCTACTAACTCCTGTATGCAGAGAATATAAGCACATATAAGAATGAAATCACCCCTCTCCTTTAGAAGTTTACATTCTTTAAAAGAGACACAATTGAAAACAATATGAGATAAATGCTATAAGTAAGAACAAAGGGTTATTGGAACCATAAAAAGGAACTAACTGTTTACAGTGCAGCAAGTGACATTATGGCTATGTTTTGAAAAAGGAGTACCTGACAAGATCAAGGAAGATAATCTTGCATTGCAGCATAAAAGAAAATTACCTGTTGGACTTGGGGCAAGGTTCAAGTATCACAGTGCCTGCCTAGCAAGCCCGAGGCCCTGAGTTCGTCAAACACCAGTACATTAATGAGCCAGGTTGTTTACAATATATTGGTTGATACACACAATTGTCCAGAATGGTAGGGAACGATCCATAATGGTAAGAACAGAAAGTTGTTGAAATAGCCTAAGCAAGTTAGTAGAGGTTAGGATAGGAAGGAAGGACTCAATGTGAGAAATAATTGAGTTAGAACTTAACAAACAAATGAATGCTTGTCTGAATCTGTATGACTGTTCATGTGTATTAGGGGAATTTCTTCTAAAATTTCTTGCTTAGGAGTAATTTTTATGCCAGAGGAGGGCTTTTTCTTTTCTTTTGTCAACAGAAAAGGGATGATGGGAATGAGGAAATAGTAAGGAAAGACAAAAGTTCAAAACAAATGTTAGGTTTGAAATTCTTAAGAAATAGCCTACAAAATCCATTAAGCTGAAAAGATCTCTGGATATAATTATTAAAAAATCACTAGAAGTATTTACTAAGAGATGTTTCAGTTGTAAAAGTTTCTATGGTTTTTTAAGTGAGTGGAAGGTGAAGTAGGGAATATAAGAGCATTAATTCAGCAAATATTTAAGTGTGTAATATATGCCAGGTATTGGGTTAGCACTGGGAGTCAGAAAGATTAGATACTGTCCTTGTCCAGTCAGTTTATAGCTTAAAAGGCAAACAAACAGGTAAATCAAGCACATCAAATATTGCATAGGGGAAAAACAAGGAGCATAGAACAGGTGCATCTATCTACCCTAGATGGGAGGGAGTGGGGAGAAAGTGTAACAGCAGATAATCTGGGAAGGCTACTCCAAGGGACTGAGCTCTAAAGAGTAAGTAGGAAATAAGTTAAGAAAAAGTAGAAAACTGGCATGGAGAGCACTGGAGGGAAAAGCGCTCCCCCCTTTTAGAAAAAGAAATTTAGGAATGTGAGGGAGAGAGAGGGTAAGATGAGAAGCTGGAGTCAGGAATGCAAACTGAGTGATAGGGCATTTTGGCTGCAGTATTGAGAGTGGATTAGAAAGGACCAGGAGAAGAGAGGAGAAACTAAGTTAGGAAAGTACTGCTGTTGTTAGGTAAGACCTAGAGAAGTTCCTGACTGTAGTAATTAGAGTAAGGATATAGAAAAATGGGTACATGTTTAAGAGATATTCAGGAGTTAAACTCAACTTGAATGGCTGGGGAACAGATATGAGATTACAAAGGGTGAGGGAATAAAAAATCACCCCAAGATTCTGCTTTGAACAATCAGACAACATCACTCACTGAAACAGAACCAAAAGATTGGGTTTAGGAAAAAATGATGTGTTCAACTTTGGATATGTGGGCTTGCGGTACTTTAGAGATACCCAATGGTGCCTGTCTCTGTTATTCTTTGTCTTACATTTCCCCCTTGTATCCTCTTGCTGCTTATAATTAACTTTGATTCGTAAAACTGATTTTATTTTTGGATCTTATATATTTCAGAATGTATAACAGACTTTATTAAAAGACTTTATGAAAAGCTTTTTTTCCAACTGAAGACTAGTAAGTAATCAGCCTGCTAGAAAATATTAAGAAAAAAAATGAGAAAACTGAATCAGATTTTAATGCTCATTTTATCTTTTCAGACCTCTCTAGACCTAGTGAGAATTACAATGAAGACGACTCTTTTCATGAAATGTTTATTTCTATTTTTCTGTCTTTAGTGATTCAGAGACAAGGTTGGGTTATTCTTAAACTTTTTCCTTCCTTTTGTTTGTAGCATACTAGATTTCTTATTCACTGACCATTCCTTCTCAAAGCTCCTTCATTAAGTATTACTTATAACATCAGATCATATATATGTTCTATATGTCCCTCCGGAACTTATTTAATAGTCCCCATAAATTGAAATATTCCCTTTTGAACTAATGGCATTGCTGATAGATGCATGATACAGCAAATAATCAGAAATAATTTTCTTAAATCAAATAAACAAATTAGCTTACATTTCTATGTAGTAGTTTTTTCTCCCATCTAAGCTAATTAATATTAATGGCTAAAGTTTAATGAACTTACTATGTGCCACAAACTATGATACTTGCTTTAATATATTACTTCATGCAATGGTCTGAAGAATCCCCATTTTACAGATAAGGAAGGAGTTAGGTATTGAGATTACGTGAATATTCTTTTTTTTTTTTTTTTTAATAGTACTGGAGTTTGAACTCAGGGCCTACACCTTGAGCCACTCCACCAGCCCTTTTTAGTGATGGGCTTTTTTCAAAATAGTATCTACCAAACTATTTGCTTGGGCTGGCTTTTAACTGCAATCCTCCTGATCTCTGCCTCTTGAGTAGCTAGGATTATAAGCATGAGCCACTAGCACCCAGCTAGGAGTGAGTATTCTTGAATGAGCTTTTCTAGCACTTAAAACAGAAGACAGAATTTAATAAGTGAAAGGTCTTTAAAGAAGATTGTCTAATCAAACTGCCTCACCTTTGTGTGTGTATGTGGGGGGGGCACTGGTGATTGAGCTCAAGGTCTTGAGCATGCTAGGCTGCCTTTTTTTTTTTTTTTTTCCCTGTGGTAGTGGGGTTTGAATTTAGGACCTCATGCTTGTGAGTCAGGTGCTCTACCACTTGAGCCACTCCACCAGCCCTTAAAACTGCCTCATTTTAAAAGACAGGACATCAATGCCCAGAGAGATAAGTAAGTTTCATAGACACACGATGACAATTTTGAATTAGGTCTCCTAATTTACAATGCTTTTTGAGACAGAAATGCACTTTATCTCATAGGCAGGTCAACAGAAGTATAAGGAAAGAATCCACATATTTTAAAAGTTAAACAAAAGAAAAAACTAATTCAGTACAGAAAGTTAATAAAATCATAATTCACTTGAAAGAAACAAATAAAAGCAAAACTTACCAAAATTAACCTTTTCTCGACTCTTTGTTGTCAGGATATCTACAATTGCATGTCGCATCTCTTCAATAGGCTTAACATTTTTTAAAGAAAGCAGATCCATGTTTTATATTCTCAGAAATTAGGTTGTATAAGTTGAAAATATTAGAACTAGTGATTAAAATTTCACATTTTAAAATAAGGCAGTGGGTTTTTTTGTTTCTGAAACAGACTCTTGTTATGTAGCCTAGGTTGACCTTAAACTTGAGATTCTCCCACCTAAGCCTGCCATGGCTCTCTATTCAAGAGCTGATTTATAAACACACACACACTTTCAGCAGTACTGGAGATTGAACTCGGGGCCTAAGGTTTGTTGGGCAAGCGCTCTACCACTTGAGCCACACCACACACTTTTTAGTCTGTTTTTCTGATAAGGTGTTGCTCTTCTGTCCGAGCTAGCCTTGAACAATTCTACCTCTGCCTCCTAAGTAGCTGGGATTATGAGTGTGTACCACCAAGCCCCACTATATTAAAGTTTGATAGCTCTTTTTCTCTTACATTGAAGTCCTGGTTATATTGTTTCACATGCTGTTAAATGCATCTTTAAATAATTTAAGGTTGGTTAGATCAACAGATTTCATTTGTTCTAAAATGTACTGCCTATTATTTGCTAGATAATGTTGACTACCATGCTTGCTCATACAACATATTCAAGATATTATATAAAGTGGAAGCTCTAGCTCATAGTCTTAGTTCAAGAAGTTAGTTCTAGAACTACTTACCCACTCTGCTTTTAATTTTCTTGGCTAATTTGACATTATCTTCTAATTTATGCTCTGATGCCACATCTTTCATTTTACATTACTACTTTCTACATCTCTACTTCTACATTGTTCCTGTACAGTCACAAGCTACAGTAATGTTCTCTCTGGTTCAATGAAGTAGAGAACTAACACTCCCTTCCAAGTAGGATTCTATCAAATGTCATTACCCTTCAGCAAAGTTTTTATACATAATGAACATTCAGAGATGACCTGTGGATTCTTTTTTTCCCCCTGATGCTGGGGACTGAACCCCATGCATCTAATATTTATTTTTGATGTGTAGAAGGTCAAATAGCATTTGTGGGTTTTGGTGAGACTAAGGTTAATAGACCTTTCTTAAGAAAGAATAATTCAAAAAACTATATAATCTCCAAAAATGTGTTTCTGAGAAATCTGGTCAAAAGGAAATATATTTTAGGAAGACTTATCCATAAAAACAAAACAAAACACCCCTAAAGAAATGATTTACTCTATACACAAAGGCTTTGTGTACCAACAAGCAGAAGAGGGTAAAGTTATGGTATTGGACCACTACGGTGGCAATAACATTAGAAAACAGTTATTGTCCTCTTCTTTATTTGAGCAAGACCAATTTATATGGTGCTTAAATGTGAGAACATTCAGGTATCCCAAAGCGAAAGCGTTCTCTCACAAAGCCATCAGGGCTTGGTAACATTTTAAAAGTTAGTTTAATTCAATTTGCTTTATATTAAATATGTAAAATATTGAAAATTTAGTTTCCCAGTAAATTTCCCAAATAGATACTGCACAAAAAGATACTGTGTTAAATATCTCTCATAGAACATTTAATTTACATTTCAGCTTATATCCGTTTTCTAAAGTCTGATTATTCCTAGTTACATAAGTGAAAAGTTTTAGAAGGCTTAGAAATATGTATGATGAAATGCTTATGATCTTCATTTATTTTGGTGTTGGGATTAAACCCAGGGTCTCTGTGCTTTACTACTGAGCTACACTCTCAGGCCCTTCAAAGTATGGCTTTTAAACATCCTTTACTACACCACAAACTTGTCAAGTTATACTGTGGTGTGTGCTAAAATAATTCTGAATCATTTACACTGTAAAAATAAAGGTCAGCAAATTTTAATCTCACCTGAGCCCCTGAGAGAATGGCCTCCTCATAGATTGAGATAATATTTTCAATAGGACTTGTGATTGGTTCAATACGTACAAGACATATCCAATATTTAACAAGCTTTTTGGCATCTGGAATATTTTTAATCAGGTCATTTAGTGTGACCAGTATTTCTTCTTTTGAACAACCCTAAAGTAACAAGAAAAAGTTTGTGATTATGTTTTAACTTACAAACTATGAACAATTAATAATCATACTATAATCACAATCAATGAGTGATAAAGACAGAAAAAGTTGATAGAAAATTATTCACAAAAACATTTATTCACTACTGTCATTCTTCTAACTCCAAATTCATTTTGAATGGCTAACAAGAAGCATACCAAAAATGTATATGAGGCAGCGAAAAATGAAATATATATTAATAAAAATTATCACTTCATTTGATTCTGATATTTATCCTCTTACAGATTGTGGAATTCCATCTAACACTTTATTTAGAATTTTTGCATCTACTAAATGTTTATGATAGAGAATAACCTGTAGGGTTTTTTGGGGTCTCACTTGTCTTTGTTGGGTTTTGATAGTAAGGTTAAACTGAATCTTCAGTGGCTTATATAAGAGTTATGTACAGTTAAAAAGCAAGGTAGAAAAATTCCGAAGTATAAAAGAAAATAGCTCAACTACACAGAAATAAGAATAGAATCAGAACTTTCCTGATTGCAACTTTCCTTGGTGGTCTGAACCACCAAAGATTTAGAAATGTTCATAGAGAGCAGAGTAAGGTTTGAAATCTTATCTGGTATTCAGTCTCGGTATGGATCTTAGACATGAGTGAGCATCAAATGCAAGATTAAAGAAAATATTCTGGACTTGATAATTATAGTCCAGAAGGTTTGGATCTAAATAGGAAAATCATACAATAAATTCAAGACCAGGATTATGTTGATTTTGTCTGACTTAACTAAATCTGCTAACAGTTATTGTTAATAATAACTTCTGTTACTAGACTTTGATAAAAGTGGAGAAAATAATTTGTAAATGTGTTTAACAAATGTAAGAAACAGAAATATCTGAGGGGAAAAATAAGTATCTATCTTAGCACACTGGATATTAACATCTTTGAGGAATATAGTATTTGTAACAACAAAAAATCCTATTAACCCTTTGATATGTACAAATGTAAGAGTTACCTTATTAATCAGATTCAGGCACTCAGAAAATGTTTTGTTTACTTTTTCAGTAAATAATCTTTGTTCATCTTCTTCTGCCATAGTAGTCCAAAAGGACCCGACTGGTTTTTCATTTTGTCCTTCAGGCTCAGGCTGGATAACTGAGTTAGGAGGCCTTTTCAGCACTTTTCCTTTGCTGGCTCTCCACTCACTCAGACGAGCTCTACAGTCAGAAGCAGTATATAAACATTACTTTGATAACTAGAACTCTGTCAAATGGAGAAGAAGGTAAAAATAATTCAAGTCTTCTAAGTAGTTCTAAGTTTATAGAGAAAAAATCTTGAATGTAGCAAGATCAATTATATACTCGAAGGCCCTAATAATGCATTTTTAAATGGAGAGGTTATAAAATATTTTCCAAGTATCATTAAGCATTTGACTTAAGATTACCAAAAGCAACCTGAAAACCACACCTGCACACAGTAACTTTCTGATCATATTGTTCTGACATAAACCTGCCTGTACATGACAGGAAAGAATCCATGAAAGAATATATTCAAGGACAGTACAAGCCAGATCTACAAAAACAATGAAGTAAATTACATCTACTCACTTTCTCTCTTCTGCAGTTTCTTTAGACTGAGCTGATCTATCAACAGTTGCTTTTGCAATAGTATGTCTGCGCTGGTCAATAGTTTTTGACTTTTCTATCAGTTTGGTATTTGAAGATGAAGCAGGCCTAGTTACAGTTTCAGATGCTGTGTTTCTTGACAGTGACTTATTTCTTTTTATGTCCTGACAAGAACTGGTTTTGACAGAAGATAAAACTGTTTTTGATTGTAATAATTCTTTTTCAGAAGGCCCTTTTCGAATGGTAATATTGGCAAAGCTTCTGCTGATGCCTTGTTTCAGAGTGTCCTGGGTGTTACTGTGGTGATTTCTAATTGGAGGTCGCATAAGTTGTGTGCTCTGAGATGTAGTGCTCACAGATTTACTGGTAGCAGTCATATTTGAGGCTCTATCACTTCTCATTGTTACACTGCTGGTCTTTACAGGCTCAGGCTTTGTGGTCTTAGAGATAGTAGATGAAAGTTTCTTTGTGGTTGCAGAACTCTCATCTGTGACTTGTAGAGGTTTTCTAAATGAATTAATCTTAGACTGAACAATTTGGCCACGATAACATCCAAGCACAGGCTTCCTGGGCATGTTAGCATCTTGCATTGGTTTTTCTGCAGTCACTTGTTTTCTTTATTATTTTTTTTAAAATGAAATGCCTGACTTAATGTCATAGTTTGACTCTGGGGATCATCTTTAATTGGTAACAACTGCAGTGTCTTATTATCAGCCTCAAAATTATGTGTTTCAATTGCTGTAGCTGAATCAGTTAATTCATTAGAAGGTTTTAAAGGAGTACAATTTTTTTCCACTGTTGTGTTAGTTTTGTTCTCTGTAGGTACTTTGATATTTTCTTTATTGGCCTAAAAGGGTTAAGACAAATCAGGATTTTAGAACTCATTTCTTTCAGGAAGAGCATAGGAAAGGGAAAGCGGAGGAAGGGTAGGACATGCTATGTTCATGTCTTACCATTTTTGTTTTATGTTTCAAAACTTTTGTCCCTTCTTGGATCTGGTCCTCAGATGTCATCACTCTTTGGCCTCTACTACTTAAAAAAAAAAAAAAAAAATTAAACTTAATCCTGTAGTAACAGAGAGTGGGGACACATTAATAACTACCTAATTTCATAATTTTAATTTTGTTTTCTGCCCAGCCTCAGTCTGTTTTCAGCACTCTCCATCATCTGGTTCTTAGAACTCAGATTGCGCAGTGGTCATGTCATCATTGGCAGGGCAAGGCTCACAGTTCTGGTGGCAGGTACACGCTACTCCTCCCACCAGCCTCTGTCCCACACCCCTCATTTCCCTGCCCTAGGTCCCTTGTCCCCACTTTACCTGCCACATTTTTATCATCCTCTCAGGCTCTGGGAAGCAGTGCCACCCACATGGGGCCTGATTATATAATATTATGGGGTCATCCAGGGCTGCACAAGGGACCCAGGAGCAACCTACCCTACTATGCTTTCTGCATCTACTTTTCTGACCCATAATTTTACTTTGCGTGTATGTGCATGGTGCTGGGGATCAAACTCAGGGCCTGTACATGCTAAGCATGTGCTCTACTAATGAGTTACATCACTAGCCCCACGATTTTAAATTTTAAATTGAGACGAACTGAGTTGAAACTGAGTTTCAACTACAGTAAGCAAAATTTTACTATAGTATGATTTAATAGCATAAACAAGATGGCTGAGGCATTTAAAGATATTTTCTTACAAGTTTTAATACCCTCATCTCAATAGAGTATCTTAGCCTAAACTCCTTTTGACAGCTATTGACTGTTTAGTACAGGCTATGACAATCTCTTAGCTGGTGATTCTAATGACTTTGTGTAAAACCAAGAAAGAGGAAAATTGTGTCAATTAGACATGCCATTAATTCTAAGGCATGTCTCAATGTCTCAAGTTCAGAGATTATGATAAAGGAGAAATGTACATCTTAGAAATGACAACATCTGGTACTTTCACAGCTAATAAAATCTTTAATTGGTCATAACCAAAGAGTTTGATTGCCATCCTCAAAATTATGTGTTTCAGTTGCTGTAGCTGAATTGGTTACGTTATCAGAAGATTTTGAAGGAATACAATTTTTTATATTCCTTTCATTTTGGTTACATTGCCTTTCACATCTATTTGTTCAGTCACACTGGCAAAGGTGCAGAACTTTGACACAGCCTGTACTTACCTTTTGAGTAATAGTTGCTTATCACTCTTAGATAAAAAGATAAAAAGCCTGAAAAGATGGTATTAGTGGTTAAATCTACAGCCAGGAGACCATTTGACTTTCTACTTTCATGGTGGTATTTGTTTTTGGCATAACCAGGTACTAGTTAAACAAAATAATAATTAATAAAATATATGAAAATATTTCTATGAAGAATTAAACAAAAATCTAACTGGGGCATGGCTCGAGTGGGAGAGGGATTGCCTAGAAAGCTCAAGGCCCTGAGTTCAAACCCCAGCACCACCAAAAACAAACAAAAAACCAAAAAAAAGCCTACCATACCCTAAACAAAAAAACCTTGCTAAGGGACTGGGAGTATAGCTCAGTGGTGGTATGTGCAGTTAGCATTCAGGAGGCCCTGGGTTAAATCCCTAGCACCAAAAAACCAAAAGCCTTACTAAATTCTAGAAAGACCATGCCAGGTGTGGTGGAACACACTCAGGAGGCTGAAGCAGAAGTATGACAAGTTTGAGGTCTGTTGGGAGAACCTGTTTCCAAAAAAAATAAAAATAAAAAAGACTTAACTTTTGTAGCATACATAGATCACAAGTCAGTATTTTGGTATATACAAACACTTTGCTTTAAAGTTATTTCCTCTTAAGAATGTGAATTTTTTTGATGGTACTGGGGTTTGAATGCAGGACCTTACCTGAGTGAATGCCACTATACAGATGCTCTACCACTTGAGCCACTCTGCCAGTCCCTTTTTTTGTGTATGTTGGGTATTTTCAAGATAGGATCTAACAATTTGTCCAGACTAGCTTCCATCAGTGATGCTCCTGATCTCTGCCTCCCAAATAGTTAGGATTACAGGCATGAGCCAACAGTGCCCAGCAAGAATGTGAACTTAGTCTTTTATCTATTATCTACTTATTTTTTGCAGTACTGAGGTTTTGAACTCAGAGACTTGAACTTGCTAGCCAAGTGCTCTACCATTTTGCCACAACCCCAGTCCTATTTTTTGCTTTCATAATTTTTGGGATAGGATCTTGAATTTATGCCTAAGCTTTCCTGGATGGAGAGATCTTCCTATTTATGATTTTTGCATAGCTGAGATGACAGGTGTGCCACTATGCACAGCTTTTATTGGCTGAGATGGGTGTCTTGGAAACTTTTCTTTTTTAACCCGGGATGGCCTTGAACCACAACCCTCTCTAGACCTCCACCTCCTGAGTCATAGGTGTGAGCCACCATGCCCATCAAGTGTCAATTTATATAGAAAATGATGATCTAGTGCACCATCCAATAAAGTAGCCTCTAGCGGAATGTGGCTAGTACAAATTGAGATGTACTGAAAGTATAAAATATGTACCAGATTTTGAAGACTTTGTACCAAAAAGGATGTAAAATATCTTAACTACTGTTTTGTGTGTGTTGCTACAGATTAAACCCAGGGCCTTGCACAGGCTAGTTAAGCATGCTACCACTAAGCTGCCTCCCCAGCCTTTAACACTTTTTAATATCACATGTTGAAATAATACTAGGAATTGTATTAAAATTCATGCCATGTTTTTGAATTCAGGGTCTATCAATCCACTGGACCCACTCTTATCACTTGAGCTACACCCCCAGTCGTTTTTGCTTTAGTTATTTTTCAGCCAGTCTCATGCTTTTTGCCCAGGTGGCATGGGACTGCAATCCTCATACCTATGTCTACCATGTAGCTAGGATTACAACTGTACACCACCACACCCAGTTTATTTGTTGAGCTGGGGCCTCACTAACTTTTTTTCCAGGCTGGCCTCTAACCATGATCCTCCAGAGTAACTGGAATTATAGGCATGCGTAACCACGGCAGCCAAATTAGGTTTTTATTGGACAGCTCTAATAGAATTTTCCAGAAATGAAATAAACTTGACCTTACCTGGCTATCTTATTTTCCTGTTTGCATGCAAACATTGTTTTTCGTCTTAACAGATGTTCTGCAAGTTTCTGTCTTCTTTGCTCTAATAAAAGGGCAATATCAACATTAGTTAAACCATCAAATAAGATCAAATAAATAGAGTTGGCTAAAGGATTTTACTTCAAAAATTGTTCTACTTGAGAAAGTATCTCCTATCTAACAAAATTTCTCAGTTTGGTATTGCTTTTGAGAAATAATCCCATTATTAAGAGATTGTTAGCATAGAAGGTTCTTGTAATCACTCTGCACAAGACTCACACTGAAAAATCTGGAGAACGTCATTTTCAATACCTGTTTACCCAAAGCCAAGTGCAAGGAACTTAATGGTAAAGATGAGACTCTAGTCTCCAAGTTCTACTTGGGTAGGGTTGGTAGTCCTAACACTTGTCGTGCATAGAACAAAGACACAACGGTACTATTTTTGTGGAACACACAACTCTAGGTTTCCGTAAGGTCGAAGACGAAATGTTAAATTGAAAACATCCGACCGGACAACGCCTCGCTCCAGAATCTGGCTCTGGATCCCGCCCCGCAGTCAGCAGGAGTCCCGCGCAGGCGCAGTCGGCCTCGGCGCCCCGCAGCCCCGCCCCCCGCGGAGCCCGGCTCCCAACGCCGCGCGAACTTCGTGGCCAAACCGATTCTTCGTGGCCAAACCGATTCCTTCGCAGCAGGTCCGCCTCCGCTAGGGAGCCCACTCAGGCGGGGAGTGACCGCCCCGGAGGCGCCCAGGCCGCACGCCATCACCACGGCCCGTCCCACAAATGCCGGGAAGGCTGCTGGACAAGGACGGGCGGCCAGTCAGGGTTCTAACACCAACAACTGAGGGCCGCCGGGTCCCCGCACGCTCCCGCCACCGCGCCCCCCACCTCTGAACGCGGTCTGGGATCTCTGAGTCGCGGGCAGCTGCAGGTCCCGGGGTACGGTGGGGGTGCTCATGGCAGCCTGGAGTCGGGGACGCGTCTCCCTCAGCCTTGAGCTCCGCGAACCGCTTCCGGCCACCGCCGCCGCACTCTGCGCACGTCGCCGTGGCGGGCTCTGGTCTTTGACAGCGGCGCCGCCGCCGCCCATTGGTGCGGGCGTGAATTGAATGTGCCAATGGGCGCAGAGGGGCGGGGCCTGGGCTGCAGTTGCTGAGGGCGGGTCGGCGTCTGCCGGGCTCAGTTAGCGCTGAATTCGAAGATTTCAAACTTAAATCACGCCCTTGGTCCTGGACGTGCAACGTGGGAGGAGTCGGCTTGCTGCTGCCCACGGTGGAGCAGGACTGGAGTGGACAGAGACTCGAGTCAGAAGAAATTAGAACAGCGTCGCAGGAGGAGCAGATGAGAACAGAGAGAGTAGGCTTCCCGTGCAACTGAACACTGCAAACTGAAAAGGATGCAGCACCGAGCATGTGACAAGAGCGCACATTCACCAATATGACTTCATTTTGAGCTTCTGACTCCGAAGTGGGTTGTGAGCGTCTCCTGTTCCACAGTTTGCAAAAGAAGACTGATACGGGACCTACTTTCTATACTTTTATTGCCATTATTAATTTTGGCTGTACTGGACTTTCTGCTTGCCAGGCTGGCCGCTTTACCATTTGAGCCACGCCTCCGGCCCTTTTTCTTTGGTTGTTTTGGAGAAAAGATCTCCTTGCCTCTAGTCTTTTTTGGTCTGGTTATTTTGTTGATAGGGTCTTCTTTTTGCCCAGGTCAGCCTGGACCACAATCATCCTATTTTATGCTTCCCGCCCTGGCTAAGATGTCAGGTGCACACCACCGCACTCAGCTTTTTTCCCTTGAGCTGGGGGTTTCCGAAATATTTTGCCTTCATTGGCCTGGAACCAACCGTGACCCTCCTGATCTCTGCCTCCCAAGTAGCTAGGATTACAGGCATGAGCCACTGGCACCTGCTATTATTTATATTATTATTGAGAAAGAGTCTTGCTATGTAGCCCAAGCTGGCTTCAAACTAATGATCATCCTGCCTTGGCCTCCCCAGTGCTGTGATCACAGGCGCACACTGTCACATATGGCTCTTTTTATGCCTTTATACTTAACGATTCTCAGATAGAAACTAAGGGAGGAGAAAGGGATAAAATGAGGATATTTCCTCTTTTCCCTCAAAGGTTGTATATAATTCTCCTGTGATATTTTGTGTGTGTGCATTTAAGTGTGCTAGCATAACTTCATTCCTCCTTATCTTAAAAAAATCATAAAACCCACATTAACAGCCAATCCACAGATGTTACAAAGAGCCAGGAGGATTTAGGGGTGGGAATGGGGAAGTTAAGCGTCTGGACTGTACCTTTCTGGTCTGAAGCAAGAGATGTACAGCATGTCGTCCCCTTGCCTGGTCACAGCAGTGAGGCTGGACTGGACACCCCTTTCGTAAGGGACAGACAGGATGGGATTTCCACGTCCTACTGCTAGGGTCTGAGGACCTCCACAGCTAGCTTTCAGCAGAGGGCAGTTTTTCTCATTTTTGTCTTTTTTTTTTTTCCTACAGACATCTTGTTAAAGAGGAATTTAGTTTGGGATTTTCCGTAGTTTTTTTTTTTTTTAACATGATTAAATGTTCTTGTATAACTGGGGATTCCCAGTGAATGATGGAAAACAGTTTATCAAAGTCAACAGCTAAAAAGTGACTCTAGAGCCTCCAGCACTATGCTAACTGAAAGAAGCTGACCACCAATGGTCACATAGCATGATTCCATTTATGTGAAACATTCAGAATAGATAAATCCATAGACACATTGATGGACTGGTGGATGCTGCAGCTAATGGAGAGTAAGAAGAGACTGCTTAATGGAGAAGGGGTATTATTTTGGAGTGAATGAAATGACCAAACTAGATAGAGGTAGTAATTTTTTTTTTAAGTTGGCATGATTTAAAGAAAAAAAGGAAATGACTCAAAGAAACCCATGAAGGTGAGTAGGAAAACCTGCAAAACTGCTAGATTTTTCAAAATGACAATTTCCCCCTAATCTCCAGACTCATCCACTCCAAGAACAGTACATTTTTTGAGACACTACCAGCCCACAAATGTTGGAGGGAAGGGAGAGCCTTTTCTAAAATATCCAAAAAGAAGCCTTCTGTCCAGAACAGTTTCTCAACTGAAGACACCTGGAGTGTTGGTGATCAGCTCCAGTTGTTTCTCCTGTGGTCACTAGAAACAGGTAAGGTGCCTGCAAGAGAACAGGGTGGGACAATCCTAAGGACAGAAGAGTGATGAAGACAGGGTGAACACAAAGTCAGGGAAGGGAGGCAGAAGAAAGAGGGAGTGGCTCATTCTCTCTTGAGTTCTGGCAGCATGAGGACTGAAAAGAATCCTTGGATTCACAAGCTAGGAAGTCCTGGTGAACACATCCTGTGAGAAATTAAAGAAACCCTGCGTAAATGGGGAGATGTAATATGTTCATGGATAGGAAGGCCCTATATTGTTAAGATGCCCATTTTCACCAAGTTCACTTACTCAGTCCTACCCCAATGAAAGTCCTAGACAATCTTTCTATAGAAACCGACAATTGGGTTCTAAAATGGAAACACAAAGGATCTAGAGTGGACAAAACATTTTGAAATATAACAAATGACTAATGCTACCTGGTTTTAAGACTTTGTTGTTTGGTAGTGCTGGGGATGAACCTAGAACCTTGTGCATGCAAGGCAAGTGCACTGAGCTACATCCCTGTGATTTTAAGAATTTTAATAGGCAAGGTTACAGTGGTACACACCTGTAGTCCCAGCTACTTGGGAGGCTGAGATCAGGAGGATCATGGTTTGAGTCCAGTTCAGGCAAAAAAGCTAGTGAGACTCCATCTCAATAAACTAGTTAGGAATGGTGATATGTATCTGTAATCCCAGCTACACAAGAGGCATAGGTAACAGGATTACAGTATAAGGCCCACCCTAGGAAAAATTGCAAGACCCTATCCAAAAAATAACTAAAGCAAAAAAAAAGAAGGCCTGAGGCTGTGGCTCAAATGGTAGAACACCTGCCCAGAAGTATAAGGCCCTGAGTTCAAAACCTCAGTACCACCAAATCCTCCCAAAAAGATTTATTATAAATCCACACAGTGTAGTATAAAGAAAGAGTAAGATATTAATGAAACAAAATAGATTCCAGAAATACAATCAAATTAATCTAGGCAATTGGCTTTGTTTTTTTGTTGTGGGGGGGGCGGGGGGGGGGGGGGGGGGGGGGGGGGGGGGGGGGGGGGGGGGGTGGAACCCAGGGCCGGTGCATGACAGGAGAGAGTTCTACCTGTGAGCTGCGCTCCCAACCAGTCAATTGATTTTAACAAAATTTCCAAGACTGCTCAATGGAGAAGGATAATCTCAATGACAAATGGTGCTGGGTCAACAAAATACCTACCTATAAAATATTAACTTCCACCTTTACATCAACCCTCATACAAAAAAACCCAAACAAAAACCCAACAACCTCCAAATGGTACATAAACCTGAATGCAGGAACCAAAACTATAAAATGGCTAGGAAAACCCAGAAAATCTTAATGACCTTGTGTTAGGCAAGTAATTCTTAAATTACTTAATTATTCCTCTTTAATTCTTAAAGAGGAAACCATCACCTCACATAAACTATAAAGAAAAAATATATACTGGACACCTTAAAATGACAACCTTTTGCTCTTTGAAAGGCACTTTATAAAACCAAATGACTCCTCTTGGTTCTGTTTGGAGAATCCCAAATGTAGCACCTATTTTCCTTCTTGGATAGATCACCCAAGCAGGTGCTTTGGCCTACTCTGATCTTATTTCTAGGCATATTTATGGCACATGACAATTTCTCCTCACACCAGCTACAAACCGGAAACTCTTGTAGAGTTGTCTATCCCAGCAGCTGTCACATGTCAGGTGTCTTATTTGTTTACGCCAGCCTGTATGCCCCTGCAGGGCAAAACACATACCTTGTTTTCAAGTCCTCACTCCCCAGCATTTTGATTGTTGCAAAGTCCAGGAGAAACTGCAGTTCCACAACTGATTAGGACCCTTAGGTCACATGATTACTTTCAATCGGAAGAAAAACTTAAAAATCATAACCAATCTAGGACTGAGGTTGAGGCTCAAGTGGTAGAGCACCTGCCTAGCAAGCTCGAGGCCCTGAGTTCAAACTCTAGGACCACCCAAAAAATCATAAGCAATCTAATGCTCAAAGGTCAGTAAATGACAGTAAATTGTGATAAACAGTGAGCATACTATAGCAATGAAAATGTTTTCAAAGAACTCTCGGTGATATGGGCGTTTGGGTCATAATGTAAATTGAAAATGTGAAATATAGAAGAGACAGCTTAGAAACAGACCAAAACACACCCCAGATTTTAGACCATGATATAGGTGGGGAAAACATGTTTTCAATATTACCCACATGTTATAAATATTTTTAAAAGTAGTCTTGCAGAGTCTGGACTCCACTGACTGACCAGAGCCCCGGGAGTGGAATGAACCTGGCTCTGCCTCTCTGCAACTTTGCATTTGAAAGACTGGGATGAACCTGGGGGAGTGAGGCTCTTCTTCTTGCCCTAATCCTGGGTAATTTTAATTTATAAAAAAGTGCTTTATATATCATTTGTTTTGATAACAGAGGTTTTTTTTTTTTTTCTTTTTTTGGCACAACCTTAAATTTTGTACCTTCAGGGATGTGCCCCAACCTTCTCACCTCATGCCAGCCCTGTCCAACTTGAGAGAAAACAGCTGTTCCTCTTGCCAGCAGCACTGGAGAAGAATTGAAATATTTAGAATAGTGTTAGACACATAGTAGGCACTTAAAAATGTTTTCTGAATATTTGTGAATATATTCAGAATATATTCAGTAGGCACTTAAATATGTTCTCTGAATATGAGTGAGTAGCCTGGGAACCAAGAGGCCTCTCTTGATATAACTTGGAAGAAAACTTCTCAGTTTGTCAACTCATTTATTTCTGGTCCCCTGCAGTGTGTGTGTAGGGGGGATAATGTGAGGGGCGACACCTGCCAGTTGTTGCCATGTGAGACCATAGGCTGACCTATGCTGGGGGATCTCACATACACTGAAACATAAAGGCAAAAGCCATCATAAGCCACCTAAGGGAAAAGAGGCTTGAAGGAGAAGGAAGAAAATGAAACAGAATAGCGGTTATTGTGGAGTACAAAACTCAGTGATATAATGGAAGAAAATGTTATTAAAAATGAAATGAGGGGGCATAGCTCAAGTGGTAAAGCTCCTGCCTATCAAGCATGAGGCCCTGAGTTCAAACCCCAGTACTCCCAACAACAAAAAAAAAAAAAAAAAGAGGGCTGGGAGTAAGCTCAGTAGTAGAGTGCTGGCCTAGCATATGTGAGGCCCTGGTTTCCATCCCCAGCACCACAAAAATATTTAAAAAAATGAGAGCTCTTTCTTTTTTTTTGAGACAGTGTCTTGATATGTACTTTGGCTGGCCTTGAACATATGGTTCTCAGCCGCCTGACTCCTGGGATTATAAGCATGTACCATCATACCTGGTATGAGGAATCTTAAATAGGCATAATTAGAAGATTGAACTAAAAATGAAATAGAAGAATTGGAGAAGTGAATGGTCACTTAAAAAAAAATCACCCCCAAAGGTAAGCATGATGAAGAAAGGAACAGATAAGGGCCATGGGAGACAGACAACTCTGACAGAGTTGTAATCCACAAATAGTCAGCAGTTTTGAGGGGCAAAAAGAACACATAGACAAAGTAATAAACAATAGTGGAACACTTTCCTGAAGAGAAAACACCTCCAGTCCTCCAACTGAAGAGTTTCACTAATACCAGGGAGAAGGAGGGAAGGGACATGTCTAGAATCTTGCACCTGGTGAGATTTCTGAACCCCAAGAATGATACAGCTTCCAGGCACAAAGAATGGACCACAAAGAAAGGAGGAGCTGGTGGAGTGGTTCAAGTGGCAAAGCGCCTGCCTAGCAAGCATGAGGCCCTGAGTTCAACCCCAGTATTGCCCCTCCCCCGAAAAAGGAAGAGGAATTGTGCTTATACCCCTCCCTTGCCTCTCTCTTAGCCCATGCCTGCAATACCCCAAGTCTACTTAAGTCCACCTCTCCCCTCCTCCCTCCGCCCCATCTAATGTTGGCGCTGGGTGCCGCTGGAAAACCCAGCCTGGTTCTACTTTACATACTTGTCCTGCTGGCTTAGCATCACACATTTCCTGTGCATTCCTAGTCACTCAACCTCACTTCCTCCTCAGAGTATCAAACGATCCAAAGAATGTTTGTGGGCGCCAGTACATCCACCCACCTCTCCTCACTTGCACTCCATCCTCTGCTCTCCTCTACCAGATGGCATACTTCCGATCCTCTTTTGTACATTCCCTCTCCCTTACTCAAGGACAAGCAAGACTCTCCCTTCTCTCATACCTCATCAGTGTTTTTTTGTCAGTTTTCATCTGCATCCAAACATTGTTTCTTCTAACTTAAAAGCAAATCAAATTCCCTCTTAAACTCACTTCCTCCAATTACCAATTCTTTGCTCTCCTTTGCAGAGCAACTCCTCAAAAGAGTTGTCTATACTTCCTGTTTACAAGCTCTCTTTGTGTGTGTGTGTGTGTGTGTGTGTGTGTGTGTGTGTGAGAGAGAGAGAGAGAGAGAGAGAGAGAGAGAGAGAGATAGGATCTTGCTAGATAGCCCAAAGTGTTCTACAACTTGTTATTCTCCTATCTCAGCCTCCCCAAGTAAATACTGGGCTTACAGGCATCACCATACTAGCTCTCTTTTTTCTCTTTTAAAATTACTCCAATAAGACTTTTCTTCCCCCATTCCCTTGGACCCACCATTGTTAAAGTTGTCAGTAACTCCATGTGGTTAATGATCTATGCTTGGCTTCCAGGACACACCACTCTCCTGGCTGTCTTACTATCCAACTGGTGCCTCCTTCATAGTTTCCTTTCCTGGGCCCTCTCTTCCCTTGTGTTAATGTGGTCTAAACATTCCTATGATGTTAAATAGAGGCCATGCAACTTTCATGTATTGTTAGCCATTTTTCAGGATAGTGATTTCCTTTTCACTAAAAGTTATTGAGAAAAAGCTTTGTCAGCAAATGAAAAAGAGAAACAAAAATAAAACTGTCAAGTAGCAAAAATTAGCAAATGGAATAAATATCGAATATAGCCCTGGCTACCTGGCCAGGGAAAAAACAAATTTGCTGATGACACTGCATCCTGGTTTAATAAGTCCCCACTATGTAGTAGGCTCTAAGAAGATAATCCTAAAGATAAAAAAATAGAGAGAGACCATATATATATGGTCCATTTATGATGTGAAATAAAAAGGGCCAGCAGCCATGGACAGATTATCTCTTTGAAACATTCTCTAATAGTGAAATTCAAAAGGTCTGTGTTAAAATTGGACATGTATAAATAAAAATAATCTTAAGAGGGGGAAAAAAGAGGAGCACAGGTGTCTAAAAACAATTCATGCTGTAAATAATCATATGAAAAAGATTATTTGTAGTTTTAAGCAAACCTGGCCACGTGGCCACCGGCTGGACACGGATAATGAAGGTGCCCCAAATCTGCAAGCACGATGCACCCTAAGGAAGTCCCAGCTGAGCACATAAGTTTGGGCCCTGCCAGGGTCAGGAAAGTCATAGACCGCCAGGGGGCGCTCCCCGCACCATCCACGTGCGGGCGCCCGGAGCCGCGCCCGCTCCCCAGGCATCTACCCCGCGCGCCCGCCCCTCCCCCCGGCCGGCGTCCGCCCCGCCCGCCCGCCGCCAGGGGGCGCCGCAGGCTGCCCGGCGCGCAGCTCGCGGTCCGGGAGCGCCGGCGCGGGCGAGCGGCGGAGGCCGGCCTGACGGCGGCCATGGACCGCTTCTTGTGGACCAGCGGCCTCCTGGAGATCAACGAGACCCTGGTGATCCAGCAGCGCGGGGTGCGCATTTACGACGGCGAGGAGAAGGTAGGGGGCACCGGCCGGCCCCGCCTTGTCCCGGCCCCCGGTCCAGGGTGCCCGGTCCCCGCGCCGGCTGCGGCCTGGGGCGCTGGGGCGCCTCCCGCCCGACCTCGGAGCGGATCCGCCGGGCACCGCCGCCTCCTGCCGCGCCCCCCCGCGGCGGTATCGGGGTGCGGAGCGCCTGCAGGCGGTGACAGGGGCGCTGGGACACCGGGGACAGCCTCGTCCCCGCGACCTCAGGAGCGGGCTTCTCTTTGCAGTGCCCTGCCCACGGCGCCTGGGGTTTGCTGGCCTCTGTAAGGGGCTTAGAGAAAGGGATTCGGAGCCTGTTTCATAAAGTGATGGGAAGGCCTGCGAGCCGCGCAAGCAGAAATCTTAGTCTGCAAACTGCTAAGGGAAGTGGGAATCCAAGCAGAAACGCGGTGAGACTCCAGACCACAAACTGCCCCGTCCCGAATGATGAAATGTACCAACTGCAGTTAGGAAAAAGAAATTAAACAAGCCATCTTCAGTGTACAAAGTCTTCACTGGCCACCTCCCCTCCCCGCTTCCTTGTCGTTGAAACTTCCTCTCTACTTCGGCATTCCGATATTCCCTCTAATACAGCTTTTCTCGCGCTTACAGCTGTCTAGAGGTACAGGTGACACTGGACCTAAGGTCCCCTGATTTCCTTAGGGTATTTTCCATCCGCTATTATTGAGTCAAGGTGTTTTGCTTATATAATTTGCATGGTCTTAGTTCATTTACTTACCGCCTTAGCACCTTCGTTAGCTTGGTCTCAAATTGAGTCTTGTATCTTTATTTTTCTCACTAGGTAGCCCAGGTTGGCCTCTAACTCGAGATCCTCCGGCCTCAGCCTCCTCAGTCCTGCTGGGATTACACACATGCACCACCATACCTGGCCTTGCGTCTTTTGATCGGTGACAAACAAAATTTATTTATTTATTTATTTATTCATTTATTTTTCTTCCTGACCAAGTTTACTTCTTTGGAACTTTTTTAAATGGGGAACTTAATCAGCCTCCCTACCCCCACACACATTAAGTTTAATTCTTCCACTTTAAGAGAAACTGAATGCTGACATTGACAGACAGGTCCTCAGAGACTCCTCCAGCACCACTCCTGGAAGTCATATCCTTGCAGAAAACCATACCCTATTGTTTGTTGGACACCAATATACAAATTAGGAACAGCTTTGCTTGCAGACAGTGCGCTACGAGGTATTTACAACAATATAAAATCATAAACATTATACCTGTATGGGGAGAACTGTCATTGAACCAGCAAATTCTCAGGTTTCCTTTCCAAGTTTTGCTGCTTGTTTTAGCAGACATGTATGTACATGCCAGAGGTTTAGGAAAAAAGTAATGGGAAAAACCTGCCTGTTGGCCCTTTGATCGGGTCAGGAAGTCTTAACTCTTCTGAAGCTTGGATATTGAAACTAAGGGAAGCTCTAAGGAGTCTCCTCCTCCTGCGCCCCAGGGCTGGGTCTGCTCTGTTCCTTGCGGAGTTGCCTGCAGCTGCATGGTCCCTGGTATGACTCAGGGCCAGACTTATTTCTAGGGCAAAGTGTTAGGCCCTGGCTTCCTTCATCTGCTGGAAGGCTCTAGACTCCATGTGGTGCTCACCAGACTCCAGATCTGATCAGGGTCCTCTATCATTGAGAATCCTTTGCTGGTTCCCTTTTGCCTGGGGATTGGGGCCCAGACTGCTGGGCCCTCATACCTGTGCATCCCAGCATTCCCCAGGCAAGGGTGCACCTGGGCTCTTCTAAACTGGCTGGATGCTCCAGGAGGGCAGAAAGCAGACCTTAGCCATCTTTGTGTCTTCTGCCTCACTGTGGTGTGAAACACATTTTAGAAAATCAAAATAATTAAAGTACTAACTATGTGCTTGAGCTTTATACACGTGTGTATTTATGTGTCTGTATATGTATGTATGAGTGCACGCGCGCACACACACACACACACTCTCACATTCTCTTTGCTCCTTTCAACAGGTAAGTGAGGTATTTTACTGAGACACAGTGACTTACCTGAGATCCTCAGTTAGCTGGAGAGGCAGGATTCAAATCCAGTGGATAAGGCTCCTAGCCTGTCCTTCCTTTACAGTGTTGCAACACTTCTGAGGATAGCAGTCCCTAGTGGCAGATACTTTATGTAATGTTCACAGAGCTGATCCTCCAAAAAACGAGGAAACAGAGATCCATGGTTGACAGTCAAGAAGACCTAGCTGCCCATGGTCACACATCTGGTAACCGGTGGCACCATAATTCTAAGCCAGATGCAATGGACTGTGTTCTTTCCAGCCCAGGTGCCTCTTGTGAGGCGCCTGTTTATCCAGGCCCATTACGGCTGGATAATTGTGTTGTTTTCCAAAACAGTGTAGACAGGTCATTTGTTTCAATTCACAGATGCTTCTGTAGCCTCAGCTAATTTAAAAAGCAATGTAAGAAGGTTGGTAATGTGTAAAGTGGTGAGTTGGCAGCACATATGAGAGGATTTACAGAATGTTTATTCTCTTTCGGCTATTTCACTTTTGGAAATTTAGTCTTGGGAAATCATCAGGGATGCAGAAAAATACTACACGTGGGGCTGCTCATCTCCATATTATATATGCTGTAATATATAGGGAAAAATTAGTAGCAGTCTGAATGACTCCTATAGAGATTAAACTGTGTGACAGCCTAGTTAGCAAAGGGAATTGCTAACCATAGACTGCTAAGTGAAAAAAGTTAAAAAACCAAAATATCATGGTCCTGTTTTTAAAGATTATACATGCATCTATGTATATCCTTTGGCTGATATGATTATGAGTGATTTCATTTTCTTAGACTAGTCTTCACATACATCCCAAATGTTTTAGTAATGAGTATGTATTGCCTTTATGACAAAAATATGTTAAAAAAGAATAAGAGGAAAAAAGAAAGAGTGCCTTCCGCATCTGCCTAAGTTCGATTAACTTTTAAACAGTTGAAATGATTTTGGCTCTGAGTGGCAGAAGCAAACCAGCCTAAACTTGTGTGTCAGGTTTCTGTCCTAATCCATTGGAAGCCCTTGAGGGAACTAAAATTGCACAATGTCTTCCCTTAAAGCAGCAACAGTTTACATTTGCTCATAGTGATGGAGCAATGGAACACATGCTGGCTTGAGCTTTAAATTTGTATCCTTATGCTTGGATTTCAGTAAGATAAAGCACAAAGGCTCTTAATCAGAACTGTTGTGTTCTAATGCAGCATCATGCACTGTCAAGTTAATCTAAAGTTTGCTTTTGCAAAGGGAAATCTTTACCCATTGGCAAACAATGATTTTTAAAATATCTTAAACTCAAGTTATTTCATTTTACATAGATGAGATTAACGAAGACATTTGAAGCCAGCCTGAATGAAGTGCCTCTGATTCAGAGGAAACATAGAACTCAAAAGATCTTTTCTCTGATGTGTCAAAATATCTTCCACAGAGTGTATTTAGGTAGTTCAGTACATCACTTATCGTTAAAGTTTATGAAGCATATGATTATTTGATGCTAATATTTTATTAGTAACACTGGCAAACCTTACCCTTACAAAACAGTGTGTAAGAATTTATGTCTAAAATGCTGGTTATATATTACACAGGGGTTTTTTGGGCACGTGTTGCTGTGTGAGCTTAATTTAACAATAATTTACATACACTTCACAGATAACATGAGTTATATACAGCAGTGACAAGTTTCCTCCTTTCCCTTCCCTTCCCTTCCTTTCCTTTGTGGTGGTACTGGTGACATATTCTATGTGATTACAGGTTTGTAAATAATCACATTATGTATGCTATTTTGAAACTTACTTTTTTCTGTCTTACAAAATATTGAGTATCTTGTAATATTGTCAACTCTGTACATCATTTATGATGATTTCTACTTCAGAATGATATATATGCCTTTATATAATAGTGCTCTGATTGGTTAGTTACTGGACAAACTACTTTTTTTTTTCTTTGTATGGTCAAGGACTAATTTTATTTATTTATTTATTTATTTTTAATATCTTTTATTCATATGTGTATACAATGTTTGGGTCATTTCTCCCCCCCCCCCCCCACCCCCTCCCTTTACCCCCCACCCTCCTTTTCTCCGTCCCCACCCTCTCCCCCTGGACAAACCACTCTTAATCACACTATTTTAAATGCAGAATTCCATTTTTTGTGTGTGATTAAACTGGACCCTCACTAAGATGGTTTCTTTAGAGTTTGTGTTGTGAGGTAGTCTTGTAAGTGGGACCAGCCTCATAACTTAAACTAGATAAATATTCCTGGAAAGGACCCAAGTAAGTCCTATCTTATGGCAAACTCTACTTTCTAGTAATTAGAATTTATAGAGAAACCTCCTATATAGTTCTTGATTTTAACAGAAATGAAGGGATTTGATTTATTAATCTCTTTTATTTCAACTCTAAAATTGGCTTATTCATCTAATTTGCAGGAAAAATAACAAGCTGATGGTTAAAGCACTGATCCTAAAGACCTAACTGGCATTTGTGTGTGTGTGTGTGTGTGTGTGTGTGTGTGTGTGTGTGTGTGATTGTGTCATGGTTTTAAAAAATCATTTCAAAATGTGTATTTTGAGTAGGTGATAACAGTCCTGACACCCAATGAGTATGTCGTAGTCAGCTCTGGCTGCTCTAACAGTGCTGCAGACTTGGGACTTAAGCAGCAGACACTTCTCACAGTTCCTGGAGGATGGGAAGTCGATCAAGGTGCCGACAGATTTGGGTCGTTGAGTGTTCTTTTTCCTGGCATGCAGACTACCACCATCCTGCTGCATGCACTTGGCCTTTCCTGCATTCCTGTGTGTACAGAGCTTGTGTCTCTTCCTCTTCTTACAAGGACACTTACCCACCTCATAACCTTATCTAAACATAAGCACCTCCCAAAGGCCCCACCTCCAAATACCTTCCTATTGGTGTTGGGGGGTGGGGTTTGAAACATTTAGATACAGTTCAGTCTCCCTTCCATCTTTGTCTTTTGGTCGCCCAGTTTTTCCCACAGAGATCACCAGTGTATCACTCTGGAGAGTAATGCATGAGTCACGTGTAGATACTTGTGTGAAAAATTTTAAAACATTAAGGAAGGCTGAGTATAGATCAGCAGTAGAACACCTGTCCAGCCTCCATGGTGCCCTGGATTCCATCCCCAGCGCCACCCCTTACCCCAAATTGTGTTTGGGGGGGGCATAATATACCATGCATGCTGTTGTGAACTTCCTTGTCTACATAAAAATCTACCTAGAGACTATAATATATTTCATCAATTCCAAGCACACTTCCTTTTTTCACATTCTAACAATTTCAAAATCAGGATAAGTGTTATGGTTAGTGGCATCATAGATTTTTATCAAGCATGGTGAGTACAGTGTCTCCAGGTTCTTTTTAGTGAATGCTTGCACTCCATCTGTGTGGGTGTGCATTTTCCTGTTGGTGGACATTTGGATTGTTTCCAATAGCAATACATGACCTAGTGCCGTATCAGCTAACACATGTGTGAATTCATCTGTGGGATAAATTCCTAGAAGTGCAGGTACCCTTGGGTCAAAGGGTATTTATAACTTTTATTGATACTAACAGACTTCCCTGCACAGAGGCTGTGGTATCAGCCTGTTTCCCCAGTATCACCAGCACAATGCTATCAGACTTTTGGACCTCTGTTGATCTTATGGGCAGATAGTATCTCGGTGTTCTCTAATTCACGTTTATCTTACTATTAGTGAAGCTGGACAGTAATTAATGTGTTACAAACCATTTGTAGTTCCTTTTCTAGTGGGTTACTGGCTTTTTCCCATTGACTTTTAGTGTTCTCTTCATTAAGGAAATTAGCTCTTTGTCTCTGATGTGAGCTGCAATTTCCCAGTATACCATTTGTCTATTTTTTTTGCCATGAAGAATTAATTTATGTGTGTAAATTTATGTGTGCTTGAATCTTTTCCTCTAGTGCTCATGGGTTTAATGCTTTTCTTAGGAAGGACTTTTCCGCCTTGAGATTATTTTAAAATCCTTTCATTTTTTTCTAATTATTTTGATTTTTTTTTCCTCTTAAATATTTGATCCCTCTGGAATTTATTTTGGTGCCATGTGTTAAGCATAAATCCAACTTTGTTTTTCTTCCTACCTGGTAACTTAGTTACTCGGTGTCATTGATTGAATTCCCATCCATACCTATTCTTATATGTATGTCTGGATTTTCTTAAATTAAAAAAATTATACATGTTATACATGAATCCAGTCGTTCTGTTAAAAAAAAAATCCTGATTAACTTTAAGGAGTAGAACAGCCTTTTGCTTCTCTTCCCATTTTTGTCATCCTTTTTCTGAGATGATCATTGTTAATAAGCCATTGTATACTGCTTTTGGACTTTTTTCTACAGCTTATATGTAGATTTATATATATCACATATGTTGTTTGATGATTGCATTATATGTAGTATGCCACAAAATGCTTTTCCCCTATCAACTCTGTCTTAGAGTTCTGTGATCACCTGTACATTCTACATCATTACTCTCAACCTCCACATGGAACCAATACCATAGATTATGCTTATCTAACCACTCACCTGCAGTTATGCATCTAGGTTGTTTCCAGTCTTTCCATAACTCTACCAGGGTGAGATAGATGGATAGATAGACAGATAGACAGACATGAGGTATGTGCCATTGATTGTTTTGAATTTGTGGTAAAGCTAATTCTAAAATGTTTATATAATTGACTTTGTATTGTCTGGTTAATGAGTGAGAAATCTGGACAATGTTGACTGACATATTATTAATATTTTGTGGTGACCTTTTCTTTCTAGATAAAATTTGATGCTGGGACTCTTCTACTCAGTACACACCGACTGATTTGGAGAGATCAGAAAAATCATGTAAGAGATAGTTCTTAGCATCAGCTTTCGTTTTTGTTTCATTTTATTTTTTGGGTGCCAGGTATTGAACCCAGGGCTGTGAGCATGCTAAGCACACACTGAGCTATACCTTAAACCCAGTTCTAGGTTTTAAGTCACTGGCTTTATTTATTTATTTATTTATCCATTCATTCATTCATAAACTTATTTTGGCTTCCCTCCTTATTTGGCAAAGCTATAAATGGTTGCAACACATTTTTATTTGCCAAAACTATACCCCATGTGATCTCTCTGAATGCAGTGCAGAGAGAGGAGATAGGGTGTCATCCTTCATTCTGCTCTATAAAAGTCTGTGTGATTACTGAATGGAGAGTCATGGCAACTCCTGTGTCTTTAAACACAGGTCATACTCCATGCCTAAATGTTGCAGGAGAGCAATTCTCTCATTAGCTATAAGGAATCCTTAAGACTACATGTCCTCAGAGCAACTGTTGTCTCAGCTTCTTTGAGAATCAGGAGAGGAAGGCTGTCTGGTTTCACCCAGACACTGCGAAGAGCTGCCCCCACCATTCCAAAAGAGAGAGCTTCTCCCACCCTGTTCTTATCATTTCTAGAAGGGGAGAGTGGACTCTGTGTAATAGCAATGACATCTTCATTCCAAAGAGTGTCAATGTGAAAGCACATGTATTCTGTTGATTTCAGCAATGCCAATAAGATAAACTATCTAATTTGCTTTTATTTTCCTAATCATTCCCCTTCCTTGAAATTTTATTTGTTTATTTTGGGGACTGAGGACATAACTTGGCCTCAAGCATGCTAAGCATGCATTCTACCACTGCGCTACACTGCCAGATTAACTGTACTGTAGATCACCGCAGATTAACTGTATACAGTACTGTGCTAACCTTGCAGTAGCTGTCATTCTTGTCTTTCAAGAGCCAGTTTTTGTCCACATAGGGATGATATCACCCCTGTTAATAATGAATTCCTTAGACTGTTAGTGTTGTTTAATTCTTTAAAAATGAATGTATATGTGGAAAAGATCCCTTTTGGAGGATGTGGTTGGGCTGCTGTTTAACCATGTGTTGATGAATAGTTTTAGTGTAACTTTTTGAATATTATAGAAAGAGGTCAATTTGACCAGGAGAAGGAGGGAGAGGGGAGGGCAAGAGAGGGTTGAAGGGAAAGTGTACGTGATCAGAGTATGATAGATGCATGTATGGAAATGTCACAGTGAAACTCATTAATTTTTATAACTAATGCATCTTCTTAAAAAAAGAAGCCAGATCAAACAAATCCTTAGCTCTATTATATACCAGTCATGTATAATAATTTTAATTATACTAAATTTAACTCCTGGGCTCATGCATTCCTCCTGCCTCAGCCTCATCAGTAGCTGGGATTAAAGGCATATGCCACCACACGTGGCCTTGTATAATAATTTTTAAATTATGTGTACTAACAAAAGAAAGCTATATGAATAATTTTCATATATATAGCTACATAGCTATGTCAGTAATTTCTGTGTTTATTCTGTGTGTGTATAATATATACATATATATATATACGTACATTCCTCTGTGTGTGTGTGTATACATATATATGTAAAGTATGGGAAATTATAAAAAAGAAAAATCACCCATATAATATAATCCTTAAAACTTTTTCATTTGTCTGTTTTATTTTTTCTTTTCCACATAAGAAATATTACATGTAAAAAGTTTTCATATAATTATTGCTTTCAGAAAATATACCTACTATAAAAACAAAGGTAGTTAAAGCTGCTTTATTTTCTTTTGGGGGACAGGATCTTACTATGTAACCCAGGCTTCCTTGAACTCACCACCCTTCTGTCTCACCCTCCTAAATTCTGAGATTATAGGATTGTGCCCCCACGTACCTGGCTTACTGCTGATTTTAAACCTTATATGTTCTCCCATGCACTATGATACTACTCTTATTTAATTTTTCCTTAATTTTATGTAAGGAGGCTGGAGGTATAACTCAGTAGTAGACTGCTTGCCTGGTATATTCAAGGCCCTGGATTCCATCCCCAGTCCCACAAATAAAGAAAACAAAAGTTCATTTCAGCAATAAAATGACACACCTTTGGGGTGTGTGGCGTGCTAATGCTGTAGAACAAGGAGCACTGATGAGTGTTGTTTATTGATTTCCCCTAGGAGTGCTGCATGGCCATCCCTCTGTCCCAGATTGTGTTCATTGAGGAGCAGGCAGCTGGCATTGGGAAGAGGTGCGTTCTACATGTGACAGGATTTATTCACAAAAACATTTACTCTTTCTGTTGGTCAGGAGGCTGCTTAAGGTTTTAGTCCCACCTTAGACTCATTCTTAAAGTCTGAAGAAAATACTGAGGTTTGCTGTAATATCATTGGGTCACAATTAATAAACAGGGCCATCTATAATTGTATATATTCCACAGACACTTGGCTTTCACATGTGTGCCTGTCATTCAGTGCTTAAAATTAGAAACAACTCATCTGAGAAAAAAGAACTACTCCTATTTCTAGCTGATCATTCAGTGTATTTCTCAAGTTTGAGGATTAAATACAGAGTATCATAATAGTCATTTTGCAAAACATGTCATTTATAAGAAAATAAGAGGTACAATTAATAAATAGACCAAGGCAGCAAGCATAGCAATGGGACTGTCCCAGGTAAACCAGGAGATGTGGGCCACTGTGGTATACAGGTGCAGGCTCAAATATTCCTCATCAAATATGTCTTCATGTTTTAAGTGCATGTGATTCTGGAGACTTAGGAACAAATATTGTTGGCATGGATTTTTTTTTCAACCTGGGCCCCTCATTAGATTTAGCCTAATAGGAAGTTAAATGACATTGAATTTTATTGGAAGTGCAATTAATGCTTGCCTTAATCATAATGTTACAGCTACCGTAAAAGATTGTTTGACATAAATAAATACATACATATATATGTAGGGGAGGGTTGTTTGTTTTTTCAGGGTTTTTTTGAGACAAAATCTCCCTATGTAGCCTAAGCTGGTCTCTAACTCTCTATGTAGCTTAGGATGGCCTTGAACTTTCAATCCCCTTGCCTCAGCCTCCTGAGTGATGGCATGTGCTACTATGCCCAGTTCTTTTTGTCATTATTGTTGTTTTAAGAAAGGGTCTACTATGCAGCACAGGCTGGCTTCAAACTCACTATGTTGCTCAGGCTGGCCTTGAACTCCCAATCCTCCTGCCTCAGCTTTCCAAGTTCTGGGATTTCAGGTGTGTGCCACCATGCCCAGCTCTAACCAACATTTTGAAGAGCCAGCCATAGATGTTTAGGTTAGATTGTTCCTGTAACTTTTCCCTTTTCATTTTTCTCAAACTTATTGCATTCTAGAAAGTAAAATTTTAACAGTATTCCAGATTATTTGATTTTTCCTCTGCTGTGTTTCAGGGTAACCAAAACTCTGTAACAAGAATATCGATAATGTTTACTTGCAATTAGTTTCTTACTTTTTAAGAAGAATTAAGTGATATGCCAGGACAACTTTTCTTAAAAGTTCTCTGTAGTTTCCAGCCCTTTCTCCAAATAATCACCATATTGCATTGATTTATTGTTTTTCACCTTTAACATGTTCTGAACTCAAGATGCTTTTTTCATTTTGTAAGTTTTAAATTTGATGAAATGTAATTGAATGACTCAGTGAAATACATGAAAAATTAACAAGGGTTTTTAATGCTTACTTTGAAAATTATAAGCTTTATTTTGTATCATAATCACATAGCTTTTTATTGGTTTTCCTTTGATAGAACCTGATAGTAGGTCCAAGAATTTTCAATTTACAAATTCTTAGTCATAATAATCATAGTTCTGGTTCTATACTTGATGATTTATTCCAAACAGTCCTATGCTTCTGCTCATATAGTTTATTTGCTCATCTGTCTTAAAGTTGTTCACCACAAAGGAACAGATGAAGAGTCCTTATTAGGCTGACCCCAGTTCACTAACCAAGCTTGCATATACTGAGGAGGCCCAACTCATGGTGTTTCAATTTTACAGTGATATTTGGGCAACAAATAGGCCCAAAGAAAAATGAAATTGTTCAATAGGCATATCTATGAGTGATCAGAAAGAAGAGTCTTTAGGAGTTGGGGGTAGCTTAGTGGTAGAGTGCTTGATGTACTAGGTATCCAGGAGACTTTGATTATGAGTTTTTTGGTTTCTCTAATCTTTATAGAAGATTGTTTACTGAGCAAGTTGGAGGAAAACAGACTTACAAAGCTGAACAAATATGGTGGTATTTTTAATAGCACAGAAGATAACAGTGGTCGTAAAGATAACAGTAGCTGTGTTCCTAGGGCAGCAGCATTTTGAGAGTTGCTTTTGTGGTTGGGTCTCACTAGATCATGCTGGTGATTAAGCAGCATTTTCCAACAAATGACACCATAGAATGTTAGTTTTGGATGGGATAGTAATAAAATACCAGCTGGCCAGGTTTACAGACAGTTTTTACATTTTGTTTTTAAATGAGTAAGGTAGTATGCTTTGGCAGAAATTATAGGACCCCTAATAACCTCTGGGGATGCATTTGCAGATGGAAAGCCCCAGTCATAAACCACTCAAAACTTTGCAAATTTATTTTGAGCTTATTTTCTAAAACCCCACTTTAAATGCATACAGTTAGTAACTTGAAACTTTTTGGTTCACAGTTTCTAAGTTTTAAGTAGAGCTATTTTTGAAAGCTTCATTTATTCTGAATTAATAAAAAATTTAAAAGATGAATTTCAGGATATTCAATGTACATGAATTTAAGAGTGGTTTGAAATATATAAGAGTTACAAAAGAATTAGTGATTTTTGAAAGACAATTAAATATGTTACATTTGCTCTTTCTTTAGTGCCAAAATAGTGGTTCATCTGCACCCAGCTCCTCCTCACAAAGAACCTGGCCCCTTCCAAAGTAGTAAGAATTCCTACATCAAACTCTCCTTCAAGGAACATGGCCAGATTGAGGTAAGTTTCCATATGAATGAAATTGGACCAAAAGTGTGTGTGTGTGTGTGTGTGTGTGTGTGTGTGTGTTGTTAATACGATAGAAGGCAGTATTATTCAGCAGACCAAGTTTCACTGTACTGGGTGTTTTCGAGATAGGGTGTCTTGAACTCTCTTGAACTATTTGTCTGGGCTGGCTTCAAACCTTGATCTTCTTGATCTCTGCCTTCCAGCTAGCTAGAATTACAGGTGTGAGCCACTGGTGCCTGATCATGTTTTACCATATTTTTACAATAAAATCTTTATGTCTTAAGCCTTATCAGAGTGGAGGATATGTGTTTTAGGTTACAGTGGGAACAGAAAGCAGGAAGGTGTGGTTACTAGGAGGGGCAGAGACTAGAAATGTGCTAAGTCATGCTCCTGGCTACAGCAACACTTTCAGTGGTTGGTTTGGTTCCAGGAACAGAGTGTAATACAGGGAAATGTTAACCTCAGGTAGCATCTGAAACTCACCAGCCTTCAATCAGGCAGTCTGTCCTAACTCCATACAAATCTAATTACTTAAATAGTTAGGCTTCTGTCATATTAACAACACCAGTAGTTTTTCTGTTCTGATTAGTAAGTCACTGTACAAGTATTCTTAAGGCATTCAAGGTGTTTATCTCTGTAGCAATGTAAAAAATTATTTGATTTCTTGACAGCACCCCATCGAGTGCTCCTCACACAGTAATCACTAAGCAAACATAAGTGACTAAACAATTATTCTCACTGTATTTGAAAAATATATTTGATTTTTCATAAGCCAGTGTGTTTATTTTTGGCTTCATATTTTAACTGGTCAAATGATTATCTGCCTCCTTCATGGAAAATGGCTATATATTTTTTTCTGGCACTGTGTTTCAGTGTAGATGGAAAACAACCCACATGTGCAGGATTGTTTGTGGTAAGTCTATTTATTTCATTGTCACTCATCACTTTGTTGAGAATAACCCACTTTATGTAGAAGGTCAATTCCTTGGTTTTTCTTTTCCTTTGTGCTTTCTGAAGTTGAGCCAAGAAAACAACTTCCTTTGATTTCCTTTGATGTCTCTGGGAATCCTGGGCTTGTTGCAAATGAAAAAACAGACTAAAGAAATGTCAAGAAATAATTTGTTTGAGGATGCCCCAACCTGACTGACTCATGTAAAGTATATGTATGTGTGTAACAGTTTTACAGGCGTCTATCAGAGGAAATGACACAGAGAAGATGGGAGAATATGCCAGTTTCCCAGTCATTACAAACAAATAGAGGACCCCAGGTATTTGTAAAACTATTAGTCTAGTATTTTCAATTCTGTACTTAACATCTTCATTAAGAAAATGTCTCTGTGATTGTAAAACTTGCCCAAAACAAAATAGTGGTGTTCTGATAAAAAATTAACTTCCATAGCACTTAGGCTAGTCACCAGCTGTGGGCAGGCACTACTTTCTCAGATGTGAGAAAGTAGCTTAGTTAATAACTGTCAAGTTTTAAAATTTTAGCTATAACTTTTTGTACATTTGAGACCTTATTAAATACACGATAGGTTGGCAAAGAACAAAAATAAATGGGAAATTTAATTTATATCTAAAATGCAGAGTAAAATATGCCACATATTGTGTATTCAACTTGAAGCTCATTAAGCACCTCCAGGACACAGCATTTTGAAAGGGAGCTAGATGTAGTTAGTTGTATGCTGTTTCTTTGGTTCTTTGTGGTTCCTTTCCATTGAAAACACAGTATGGTCACAAAAGATTTGGTTTCTTTTCCATTCTGTGTGTTTTATGTTCTACATTTTTTTTCCTCCAGCCTGGAAGAGTAAGAGCCGTAGGCATTGTAGGCATTGAGAGGAAACTGGAAGAAAAAAGAAAAGAAACTGACAAAAACATTTCTGAGGTAACTCTTCAACAAGTCTATTCAGCCTCACCTTCAGCCATTTGTTGTTATTCTTTGGCGACAACCATGACTAATTCCATTCTGTGATCTGGAATATATCTAGTTGGCCTTAAGATCCATAGCCTCCTGTTCCTTTAATAGATCCACCTTAGGCTGTCATAATTTAACCAAAACAAGTTTTAAAAGTTTTTTTTATCGAAATAAGAAAGAAACAAGTTTGTTTTCTGTTAGAAAATATCATAGAATGTTGTGTATAAATTTTATAGATGTAGTTAATTGGAGATACATGTAATGAATTCAAGGTCCTCTACATAATTATTTTGAAATTTGGGTTAACTTAGTTGAGAGAAAAATCCTGTTCTGTGGCTACTGTCCCTGGCTAGCCAAGGCACAGTTTTATACTGATACTGCTCGGGGACCAGACACAGACAGTAAGAATGGCTCAATCCAGCCTGTCATGTCTTCTTGGAACATGTATGTTTCAGTGTTTGTGAAGCATCATCATAAATGAGGAAATTCAAGTGAAAGGGAAAGAACTCTAGTTCTGAAAGCCAGTGATGATTAGATTCTATAATTAGTTAATGTATCTAAACATATCATTGGTGTGTTAGCTTTCCATTACTGTAACAAACACCCGAGGTAATTGACATATAAAGAGTAGAGGTTTGTTTTGGCACACAGTTTTGGAGGTTTCAGTCTATGTTTGTTGGCCCTGTTGCTTTGATCCAAAGTAAATAAGTTATTGAATGCCTATCATGGTTTACTACTTAAAATGCAGGTTACCATTGAGGTATCAACGGTACCTTAAGTACTTATTAAGTGACTGGTATAGACTTTGTGGATTGCATAGTTACGGTAATCCATCCTATGTATTTCCTCAAGATTTGCAGCTGGATCCAGAAGCTTGATGACATTCATGTTCAGTCCCTTTGACAGTCACTGGAGGTGAAGCTTTGTTCTTTCGTTAGGAGCTCATCAGCTCTCTTTTTTTCATGTTAGTGACTGTTAATGTTCAAGGTCTATTAGTCATTGGTGGTTGCAGATAATGAAATTTGCAGATATATTAGTTTTGTCAGAAGTATTAGTTCATTGGCATTTACAAATGGTGATATTCTGTTTACTTTTCATGTATTAGTTGGAATACTTTTTTTTTCTTTTTTTTGAGACAATCTCACTGAGTATCCCATGCTAGCCTCAACTTCACATTCTCCTACCTCATCCTCCTGAGTGTAGGGATTATAGATGGGCACTATCATGCCTGGCTTGAAATACTTTTTAAAGAGCTGCTTCCCTTCATCTCCTGTGTGATTTCCCACTGACATAATTTATAGAGGGAAGGCAGGACTTTGCTTTTTCCTTTATCATCAGGATAATAAATTAGTCCCTTCTTATCCTCCAAAATTGACTAGATTTTATATTATCATCACAAATTTTAATGTATTGGTAAGTTTCAGTCATTTGCAATTATTTATTCTACTTGATTCTCAGACCATCCCATCTTTGCCCAATGAGAGCCTCTTCAAGTTGGCACCTGAGTACTTTTGACATGACCTATCTGGTGTCATCATTGTCTGGTGTGACAGAGGCTCTAGGACTACCTTGTGCATTTCCTGCCCCATATCTAGAATAAAAATTTAACTGGGAAGCTCTGTTTTTTTGTTTGTTTGTTTTTTTAAGTGAGAAACAGTATTTCAAGCCCACAATCTATGCGTAGCTTTGGGTTGATGTTTGTTTCAGGCCTGTACAATGGACAGAGCTAGGATTGTGTTGTTACCTGAAGTGCCTCCAGAGATTATACCATTCCTTTCAATTCAAATTAGAGCAACACTACCAGTAATTATTAAAGCAGCTATAAAGACAATTTTGTCCCCACTGTCCTTGCATTTAATATGTGTGCCGTCCCTACCTTCGCATGCTGCCACGGCACACGCTGTCCCCACAGCTCTCGGGTAGGCTGGCTCAGGACTAAATCTAACTGATACCAGCAGTGCTTACGGTGATCTTCCCTTACTCATTTTGATGATCCAAAGCAGGAGTAATGGAGTAATATTCCTTCTATGTGGCATGTTTGTGTTCCTTGTACCTGAAATTCAGTCTTGCTGGATTTAAAATCCTAGGCTCGGGCTAGGGATGTAGCTCAGTGGTAGAGCGCTTGCCTAGCATGTGTGAGGCCCTGGTTTCCATCCCTAGTACCTCTTTTCTGACTTGTATTGTCCTCTCAGAGCCTGTAACATCTTTTAGTGTATTTTAAATAAAATATCACACTTTACTTTTTGGCAGTACTGGGTGTGAACTCAGGACCTCGTGCTTGCTAGGCAGGTGCTCTACCATTTGAGCCATACCTCTAGCCCTAAAGATGGCATTTTGATCCAGTCTGTGAACATGTCTTTCTGGTATACTTTTGTTGTCTGTACCATGTAGTTCTCCTCCATATTGTCTTTTTTCTTATAATAAGTTTGGGTGGGATTCAACCTTATCTTTTGTTGTGGCTCAGTTTCAAAGGGAATTCGTTTTCCTAAACTTCTAGAGAAAGGCTGAGTTCAGGGTGGTTTTTTTTTTTTAGCTCCCTCCTTAGCTGTTTCAATGTAGTGTTCAAAATTTTGTTGATTCTGCCAGGCATATTGACTCACATCTGTAATCCCAGTTATTTAGGAGGTGGAACTCAGCCCAGACAAAAAAGTTAGTGAGACACCCTCCACACCTCCATCTCAATAAAAAAGCTGGGCCTGACACTGTAGCAACGTGGGAGGCATCTGTAGGAGGACTGTAGTCCAAGTTGTCTAAGTAAAACTTGAAAACTAACTAGAACAAAAAATTGCTATTTGATTCCTTTGCTGGGGACCTGGTGGACCTACCCAGTAGAGAAATGGGGGAAACCCTCCCAGTTCTAGGCACTGTCATGACTTTCTTTCCAGCTCTATACCAGAGCTTCCTTTTCTTTTTCCTGCCTACCTTCTGACATCAGGCAGGCCTCATTATATGTCCCCATTTGTTTGTACCGTCAGGGTCTTGTCAGCATCATGACATTTGATTTTTGTAGTGTATGCTGCCGATGGGCTTTGGTTTTGAGATGCGGTTGCCCTGTCTGCTTTATGTGAAGATTTGGAGAAATTCAAAACATGTGCTGCCCCAGCCCCATCTTCCCAGAATCCTCTGTCCCACAAAATTCTGATATTTTAGCATCAGAGTGGTTCTTATTATCCAGAGGAAGTGACTAGATTGGGAGCCGTCACTGTCTTCAATACCCAGGGGGTGCTGGCACTGTTCTTTCTGCAGTGCTGTTGTCACTCTCTTTGTGTCAAGAGTTACAAGATGACATGGAACAGTGAACGACTTTGGATTATTTATATTCCTTTTTCTGAATGCTGCCCTACTAACTTGGTGTTAGTATGTGCTTGTCTGTTTTTGTATTTTTGAGATAGGGTCTCACTTTGTAGCCCAGATTGATTTGAACTCTCAGTCCTCCTGCCTCACCCTCCCAAGTGCTGGGAGTATAAACGTTTGCTACCATGCCTGGCTCAAAATGACGTTTTTCTAAATTTTTATGAAATGAGTTACTCAATTTCGGTCTAGTTTCATGGATATAAGGTTCTGTAAGCTAGCAGACAAAATAATAGAAGGTGTGTGTGCATCTGTCTCACTCTAACTTTTGTTGTAGGTACTTTTTCCACCCTTTTTTTGATAGTTGGCTAATTCCAAAGTTCAGAATAATAATAGAAATAGAAGTGAGGAAGCTATTGTTTTGCTTTATAATTACATAAATTTTCTTAAAGTTATATGGATAAGTCTTCCAAGGCACTATAATTATGTTTATTTTTTAAATGATTATATTTATAAGCAATAAACGTTAACATATATATTCTATGTGGATTCACTATTTTGGTGTGTTTTTCTATGAAAATATAATAAAATTTTGTCTTACTAGTTTTCTGTACACATGTAAAAGAAATTTATTAATATTTCATATAGTCAAAGTAAAAATCTTAAGTGTACAAATTGCCTGTGTGTTTTATTTTTGAAAACTAGGTTGGTGTGTGATTTGCCTCCCATTTAAATGCCCAGAGCTTCTCACAAAGGGTTTCCTGCCTCTGCTGGCTGTTGCTGATAAGAAGGCAGTGTTTAAGCCCTTTGTTTATCTGAGGAAATTCCTGTTAGGTGTGTGCACATTCCCCTTTGTTCTGTGTTAGCCTTAGCTGGTTGGCCATAAGAATCTCACACAACACTCTATTCTTTTAGCAAAACCCCTTTGCAGATGGGGATACTTTTCTGCAGATGGGCATGAGCTTCTGAGAGCCACTGCTTTATGTATGACTTATTTTTCAATTAATGACAAGTTGCTTAATTGATTTTAAAAATAATGCCTGTGCACATCAATTAGACAAAAAAATTCTACACAGGCAGTATATTTTCAGTAACTTGAAATAATTTATTAGAAACATGTCTGGTTAAATTTGAAGAGGCCTTTGAAGTGGAATATTTGCTATAGCAAATTAAACAACTGATCAATTAACATTTATTTAGATATACTTTTGGTGGTACTCAAATGTACAATGGGTTTAATACTTAGAGGCTGAGGCACTATTTCAGTTGAATCACACCCTATTAGTATATCCAAAATTATTGCCAAAAAAGTATTCCTGAAGCTGTGTATTGTCATTTTTAATCAGGGAAGTTTTACATTGCTTTTGATTCTTGACATCCTTTCAAGAAAGTCAAAGATAGTCACTGGGGAGTGAACTCAGGGCATACTCCCAGCCCCAGAGTTTTTTTTTTAAATTGTTGTGCTGGGGTTACATTGTGACAGTTACAAAACCAATTTTCTTATTTGTGTTACATAACAATAAATAATATTTTGTGAATTATTGTTTAGTTAGTTACCTTTTGTTTGTTTAATCAATAGTAACTATTTTCCTCTTAGAAACTGAAAAATTTGCTGCAGTTTGTTTTGGAAAGTTTATGGTTTCTTATCTAAAATAAATTTTAAAAATAAGTAGATGTATTACTTATATACTTATTTTATTAATAAACAGATATTTGTAAGAAAATTTCATATATTTGTATTATGGGGAGAAATCTGGGGATGGTCACTGCTTTACAACATTTTAATTCTTTAGACAGATTCCAACAAAAACTTCATTTCTCATTTCAGGCCTTTGAAGACCTTAGCAAGCTAATGATCAAGGTACATTTCATTTATGCCCCTTAATACATACAGTTGACATACGGTTTTGAAAACACAACATTGGGAGCATTATTTCTTTTTTAGTCTTTCTTTTTCTTTTGATAGGCTAAAGAAATGGTGGAGTTGTCAAAATCAATTGCTAATAAAATTAAAGAGAAGCAAGGTGACATCACAGAAGATGAGGTAAAGAAACTTTTTGTTTAAGGTATTCAAAACCACATTACACATTAACACAATGATGTTTTTGTGGCTTGCCTGTTTGCTTCTTTCTTTTTAAATTTTTACTATTTATTCATTTGTTGGCTCCAGGGCTTGAACCCAGGGCCATTTTTACCACTGAACTACACCTGCAGCCATCAAGTTTTCTTTCTGATTATAGTATTTTATTTCTTTCTTTTAGAACTTGATGGTATATGAAAGTAAAAAAAAAAAGTAAACCATAAAAGTTTTGTTAGTTCTAGTAGGAGTCAAGATTATTTCAGTGCCTTTTCTTGGAGTATAGAAAACAGACACTGAAGTGTTGAAGGAGTGGCTATTGTATACATATCCCTAAGTTTGATGTGTGTTTCATTAAATTTGTCCTAAGATCTGGTCACATGTATTTTTCCTTTCTGAATTTTCAGTTGTATCATTTGGTTAGTATTAAGTATAGCATGGCCATTATCTAAGTCTTCTCTCATAGTAAATTTGTGAAGTAAACAGTATGGGAAAGCAAAGTAGTAGACGGAAGGAGAATAACTTGATTTCTGCAAGAAACCACTAAGAAATCCTCTGCTTTAAAGCTCACAGGATACAGACGCAGTAAAGAAATGGTTACATAGAGAACTGAGTGGAATTGAACTTGTGATAGAAGGATTTTACATGTTGAGGTGGGAAGACTAACTCTGCCCAGTCTTTTCATGCGCTTTCCCCTCTTATTGTAGACTATCAGGTTTAAGTCCTACTTACTGAGCATGGGAATAGCCAACCCGGTCACCAGGGAAACCTACGGCTCAGGCACACAGTACCACATGCAGCTAGCCAAGCAGCTGGCTGGGATACTGCAGGCACCACTAGAGGTAAAACCAAATCTCAGCATATTTTTGGGACTGGGGTTTAAACTTAGGGTTTTGAGCTTGCAAAGGAGGTGCCTTACCACTTGAGCCACATCTCCAGTCCATTTTCCTCTGGTTATTTTGGAGATAGAGTCTCTCAAACTATTTGCTTGGGCTGGCCTTGAACCGTAATCCTCCTGGTCTCACCTCCCAAGTAGCTAGGACTATAGGTGTGAGGCACTGGCACACAGCCTCAGTGTTTTTAAAAGTGTATTAAATGATTTCTGGGTCATCAGGAATCTTAAGAGCATAACTCCTTTTACATGTGGTTACTAGTAACCAACATGCTATTTTTTCTTTTAGGAATATTAAGTTAGCTGATTATACTTATTAATTATTCTTTGTAATTTCTAAGTTGCTTTCAATTTCCATTTTAGATATCTATAACTTTCTAAATCTATTTGATAGAAGTTTTTATTTTAAAAACATTATTTATATACTTTCTATATATCTAGAATTTAATATAGAGTATGTTAATAATTCTATAATGCAAATTCATCTAGTCTAACAGTATTCAGCTAATCAAATCTTTATTATAGCACTTTTATTTTTTTTCTTTTTTCAAAAACATTTTCATTTGCATATACTAGTTGTACAAAGGATTTCATTGTGATATTTCCATATATGCATACAATGTACCTTGATCAAATTCACTGTTCCCCTCATCCCGTCTCCCTTCTTTAAACAGTTTCAACAGGTTTTCATTGTTGTATTTTTATACGTGTGTGTAAAGTACTTTGACCATATTCACCTCCCCTCACCCTCTTCTTCACCCTTCCCCCTCCCACTGGTACCCACTCCCAAACAGAACCTGTTTTACATTCCCATCATTTATTTTTAAGTACTAGATTCTGCATATGAGCAAGAACATGTGATATTTATTCAAGCACTTTTATTAAGAAATATTTCAAACATGCCCAAACAAATAATATGAATCCCAACCTCCATTCAAAATAATTTTAAAGCAAATCCCAGACATCACATCATTTTATCTGTAAATAATTCAATAACTATAATGACAAAGACTCCTTTAAACACAACACTCTTTTCATACACCATTTCATACCTAAAACATTAAAAATCCTCAATATCATCAAATATCTAGTTAATGTTCACATTTTCCCTTATAGTTTGTCTTTTTAAATCAGGATACATTGCAACTGATCAATTTGTCTCAGGTTTGGGTGTTTTGTTTTGTGTTTGCTTTTTGGTACTAAGAATGGAGCCCAGGGTCTCATGCATGCTAGGCAAAAGCACTACACTAAGCTAAACCCCCAGCTCCCTGTTTTTCTTTTTGTTTTTAATTCCACAGGTTTTCTCTTCCTCTACTTCTTGTCTCTCCAAGTCATAAAATTTATTTATTGAAGAAACTACTAGTTTATCCTATAGAGTCTTGTACTTTGGCTGACTATATAGTATTAACATATTTCCCATTCCTATGCATTCCCTGAGGGGTTTTTGTTTTGGCCTTTTGTCCTGGTAAGAATACTTTACAGAAGGAGTTGTGTACCTCCATGAGAAGGTGTGTAGTATCCGGTTATCTCTATTTGTAACATTAGCAGTCATTGGCAGTAATTACCTAGACCTGTTGCTTCATTAAAGGTTATGAAATGGTGACATCATTCATTAGCTGGAGTAACTTAAAAATATTTAAATGTACTTCTAAAAAGCCTTTGTAGAGCTCTCTTTTCATTTAAGAAAATGCTGACCATGGCAGTTAAAGTCTAAAACTTGAGTTTGAAATGCCTCGTGGTACCCAAATAAGTTCTCATGTGTATAAATACAGTTTTTAAAAAGCTTAAGTTTTCTGATTTTTTTGTGTGTGTATTGGGGTTGGACTGGGGTTTGAACTCAAGGCTTGATGCTTGCAAAGCAGGTACTCTACTGCTTGAGCCATACTTAAGTTCAGTCCAAGTTTTCTGATTTTTTATTTCACTCTGATTATGATTTCTGCTGTGAAATACTAACTGGGGCTAATTGTAATATTTTTTTTTCCCCTATCTTATGTTAACAGGAACGAGGGGGAATAATGTCACTCACAGAGGTGTACTGTTTAGTAAACCGAGCTCGAGGAATGGAAGTAAGAATAGCATATTTAGATACTTTTTAGCTAAATATAGACTTTCTTGATATAATACAAATTCCCCTCTAGTGATTACAATTTGAGGAAGGGTTGTGAATATCAAAGCTATTTTGAGAAGCAGTGTGGTGCACTGAAAAAGAATGCTGCCCTGGGATCTAGAGAGTAGAGTCTGTTCTGTTCCCAATCTTGCCAGTGACTTGCTGGGTGGCCTTGAGTGGCTTACTTAACCTCTCTAGAACTCAATTTCATACTTTAAGATAAGGGTGTGTACTGAAGAGATAAAGGTTAGCCTTTCAGTGCTAATGTTCTGCATTTTGCTGTGATGAATAAGGCTGTGAACAAAACCCTTTCTCTGCTATAGTTAATCCTTTTGATTTAACTCAGTTGGACTCAGTGGCCATGCAAAGAGCTCAGAGGGAAAGCCACCTTGTTCTTTTGACTGTTTATCAGCAGGGGCTGTTCTTTGCTCTCATTGCCCTGTCAACACCCAGGTAGCAGTGGCCTCCAAGGTTCTGTCCAGGTGCTCTTTTGCCCCAGCAGTCACAGCAGACTTGCAATGTAAGCAGTCACCTCCAAGGGAATGAATTATGCATGTCTTCCAGTCCTCACCCCAGTTCCATGAGTGCAGCCTCTTGTGTTTATTTGAATAGTCAGATCTGCCATTGGTTAGTACTTACTATCCACCAGGCATACTGCACCTGTTACCTTACTCATCCTCCATCACTCAGTGAGGTAGCTAGCTCCATTTAGGGGATAATTTGGGGATGATGAAATTGAGGTGTAGATTAAATTACTCAATCAGAGCCATGCAGGTGTAGTTTGGCTGGGATTTGGACCCAGGCCCAGTCAGCTCTGAAGCCATCCTGTGTGACTCAAAGCTGTATTTATCCCCACCATACTGTGCCGACTGGTTAAGGTTGCACCATCCAAAAGAGTACCTCTATCAGCTAAAATTGTGAACTTGTAACATACTAGATTTAGAAGACTTAGTACAAAGTAAAGAAATGTTAAATCTCAGTATCTCAGTTTTGGAGAGGACTGGAGGAACTAGGGATAGGACCCAGGGCCTTGTGCATTCTAGGCAAGTGCTCTACCATTGAGCGATACTCTCAGTCCCTTTTATTTATTTATTTACTTACTTTTTGTGTGACTACTAGAAAATTTAAAGTTAATATATGTGGCTTGAATTATATTTCTGTTGGATAGCACTGCTCTAATGAATTGAAGTCTTTGTCTCCTTTGTTAATCCTTTTTTCCTTGTAAAATACTTGATTTCCTATTTCAGTGGTCATTACAGTTATATAGCATTACTCTATTACTTTGCAGTTTAAACTGGATTCTTTTCCCTATTAGTTGCTGTCACCAGAAGATTTAGTGAATTCATGCAAGATGCTGGAGGCACTGAAATTACCTCTCAGGTAAAGGAGCCTTCACAGGAAGTTTACCACCTGTACCTGTGATTCCACACAGAGGAGACCGGAAAGCTCAGCCAAGTTTACCACCCTGCGTGGCAAGCCAAAAAGTTGCCCTCTTGAAATTACATTGTATATGACCTGAGTTCACCTGGCACCAAAAACATCTTCTGTCATCCTGGCTTTGATCTTATCAGAGCTGGACATATCGTAAGAGGCTCAAAGTCAGACTCTTGTGATTTGAAAGAAGAAGATAAGAATGTGAGCTTCTCGCAGGATGTCAGAATAAGTAGCCCTCTTCCGTAAAACAGTTTGTGTTCATTTCTGGAGATTCACAAGTGAGGGGGTTAGGCTGTGAATTGTATTTTCCTTAGGCTAAAAGAATCCCTAGCCAGACATTTTATTTAGTATATAGATTGCAGTTCATAACTTTATTATCTGTTAATTTATGAGCTCTTTAGTTCTGCCATATACTTGTGCCCATTATATTTTAAGTGGTATTGTGTGAGTAATATTGTCCTCATGCCTGGGCATAAAACAAAGTGAAAAATGTTTGCTCCTTCTTAATGGTTGAATATTCTAAATGATTCATGACTTTGTTCTCACATCTTTGAATTTCAGGCTCAGGGTTTTTGACAGTGGCGTCATGGTAATTGAGCTTCAGTCCCACAAGGAAGAGGAAATGGTGGCCTCGGCCCTGGAGACGGTATGTGAACCCTGTTTCCTCCAGTCATTAAGGCTTCCATGAAGACCCAAGTGCTTAGCAATTTGAAAAGCAGGATTTCCTGTAGAATTTAACTTTACTAAAAAGTAACATTTGCAGACTCAATAAAAAATGGTTTATTATTAACTGAAAATGACATATTCATTTAATCAAAGTAATTTGTTAAAAACTTTTTGAAGAGCTGGGCACAGATGGCTCGTGACCATAATCCTAGCTACTTGGGAGGCTGAAATTGGTAGGATGGCAGTTTGAGGCCAGCCTGGGTAAAAAGTCTACAAGACCTCATCTCAGCCAGTGGCTGGACATGGTGGTGTACATCTGTCATCCCAAGCTACACAGAAGGCTAAGATGGAGAGGATTACAGTTCCAGGTCAGCCTGGGCAAAAAAGTTTTCAAGACTCCATCTCAATGGGAAAAAGCTGGGCATGGTGGCATGAACCTGTCTTCCCAGTTACAGTATCAGCTTAAAATAAGATTTGGTCCAGTCTGGGCTGGGCAAAAAGCAAGACTCTATCTCTAAAATGAGACCCATCAAAACTGTTCCAGGAATAGGGGCAGGGGGAATAAAGGAGAAGTGATGGAGGTGGTGAATTCAGCTATGATATATTGTGACATTGTAAATGTCACAGTGTACCCCCAGTACAACAATAATAGTAATAATAAAGATTTTTAAAAGATCTGTCTCCAAAATAACCAGAACAAAAAGGGCTAGGGACATGGCTCAAGTGGTAGAGCACCTTTCTAGCAAGCTCAAAGCCCTGAGTTTAAACCTCAGTACTGCCCAAACAAAAACAAAATAATTTTTAAAGGCTTATTGATCCTCTTAACATCTTAGGGTCAGGAGGGCTAGAATTAGTGAGGTACTTGCTTTTCTCTTGAAACCCAGTGTTGAGAACAGGCTTTTAACTTGGGTCCTTTACTGGACATAGACGTAACTTTATGACTCCTTTACTGGAACATGTGATATGCTGAATTAGAATTTATTATGTGTTCGCTTCATAATACCCATTCTTTCTAGGCTTCAGTACAGTGCTTTTTACATTATAATAGACTCATGTTGACAGCTTCTCTGTTGTATTTGTTCTTGGTTCATCAACTTTTGTAGAATTAGGCATTAGTTAAGCTTTAGTTCTATAGTTAGTATTTAGATTTTAAAAGAGAATATAATTTCCTGTATGTAATCTAGTACCTAGGTATATGAAAGTAATCACTTTTTTTTTCTGTTGTGTATTGCTGTTAGGTTTCAGAAAAGGGATCCCTAACATCAGAAGAGTTTGCTAAGCTCGTGGGAATGTCTGTCCTCCTGGCCAAAGAAAGGTAAGTGCACCCTTGCCCTTCATGACAACTTGTGTTTGTATTTCCAAATGGACAGATAATTGTGGCTTTTTCTCTTTATTCCTAGGTTGCTACTTGCAGAGAAGATGGGCCATCTTTGTCGAGATGACTCAGTGGAAGGCTTACGGTTTTATCCAAATTTATTTATGACACAGAGCTAAGGGTTTCATGTTTGAAATACTTTTTTGACCACACACTTGCATTGTGTAGCGGTTTTTATGACATTGAGCTAAGAAATAGACCCTGATAAACTGAGAATTTGTTAGAGCTTCACAGTATCATATAAAACTCTTTTACTCTCTTCCTAAATACTATGGTCACAGAAGCTTCTTATTTAGGGTACATATAGGAAAATACAGAAAAAGGAATGCTGATATAAATTAAAAAGTATGCTATAACTTGAAACATGGTGGATTTTAACTTGATCCCCAAATGTAACCATTTATAAAGAAGAGAATTTAAGTTCTTGGGGGAAGAAAAGGAAAAGTTGCATGTTTAGAAAGGTTAGATTATTATTTTGATGTGACTAAAATTCACTGAAATGTAAACGTTTTCTTCTATGTCTGATATGCCCACTATGGGAGGTTTTCATGAGGAAGTCATAGCTACAATGTAGTTTAAGAACCTGACAACACTGGAACCAAATATCAAACTGCAGAATGCCACATGAGGCTCTTCCTAAGGGCTTTTCAAAGCAGCCATAGGCATGTCTCCAACAGACCAAATAAAACACCTTTTAAAAAGGAGAGGGCTGGGGTATGGCTCAGTGGTAGGATGCTTGCCTAGCATGCATGAGGCCTTGGGTTCCATCCCTGGTATCAAAAAATAAAAAGGGAAAAGGAGAAAATATTATTTGACTTATATATATATACTCCAACTAATTTCTTTTAAAGAATGCAACTGTATCATTTTGCTTAAAAAATGCTATGGATTTTGAAGCTGAATTAAAGAACTGTATGGACATGCCCAGAGTTATGATTACAGATCTGAGAGGTAGATGGCTCAGGAGTTCCCTAGAATGTTGTGCAGGTAAAAGAAGCAAGGGAACCTTTAACTAACTTCATAGGAACCTCACTAGAAGCCAAGGCTAGGAAATAGAAAGTGGGCAGCAACATGTCTCCTTTTCCCCTCCCCTAAGGAGTCTCAACACTGAACTTTTAAAAGCATGTCTGTCATATTCCAGCAATATGTTTTTCTTCTTTCTCCTATGCATTATAACTTGTGTGGAGAAACCATCTCAGTAAAAAGTGTTACTGATAACAAAAACTGGCTAATATTGCCTATAGATGCTTGAGTTTAAAGTAGACTGCTGGACTTCATATGCTGCTATTCTACAGTATGCAGCTTGTTGGTGTTACCTCAAACTCAGGGACCTCACAGAACAGAAGGAGACCCCCCTTTTTGGGACTAAGTTGGAAAGTGAAAGGATACTGATGGTTTTGGCCAAGTCAGCATTGGAAATAGTATCTGTATTGGGAGAGCCATTGGGACCAGGAGGAGGAATGCCCAGGTACACTCTGGGACTTCTCGTACATTCTTACTGAGTAAGGTAGAGGCCACTGCCACATTCTGGGGAAGTGCCAGGGTCCTCAGCCACAGAGCCAGGAGCAGTGGCTATTGCTGCTTTGTGTCCTCCAGTATCACAGAAATGCTGTGGCTGAGGCAGTCTGCTTTAGTCTTCATTTTCAAAACTGTCACTAACTCTTCATTGTGGTGACAGATCCCCTAATTACCTCATTGCTCAACCTCAGGTTTATTTTGGGGGTAATTCAGTGTCTGGCCACCCAAGTCTTTTAGGGGTTAGTTAGACCATTGTGTAAGTTTGTTTGTGTGTCTTGCCTCTCTCTGAGTTGCACTTACTCTGTCACATGGCTCTGGCAGACAGTCAGACAGACACACACACACACACACACACACACACACACCACATCTCATCTGACTGAGGTTCTTAAAATCAGAGAAGATAAATAATAATCTTGCACCAGCTGGAATAGTTGCAAGTAAGGGTGTTGGAGCAACTGAGTCTAGCTCTAATGGTTTGGATTCATTATACCAAACTTAGAGTCAGCATATTTATGTACTTTAGTGTGACAAGGTATTAACAAAAATGGAGCATTCGAGTCGAACAGGAAAAGTGACATGAGTATAATCTCCAGATATCACATTAATTAAAAATAAGTATGATTGATTTTATTATTTTATTTTAAAGTGGGCATTCTTCACTGTTCCCAGACCTCTGTGTATATATTTTCATTTTTTGCCAAATGAGATGTTATTTTGGTTCTTTATTTGTAGAGGTTATGTTTAAATACAACCAATCAGGCCCTAAGTGCAAAAAAGTTCTGCTTTGGTGCTTATCACTGTATAACTATTATTTTTATTTCTTAACTTTGCTCTTAGGAGCACAAATCTCTTTGTAGCTTTATGGTAATGGAATATTTCTAGTCACTGTTAAGAAAAAATTTTTACATTGTATAAGTAAAGGCTGTTTTCGGGGTTAAATGATCGGTATTAATGTATATAGAGTAAAATAATTGCAAAATTTTTAAATGATTTTCTTACCTTGGTGTTCTTTTGAAATACTCTGAAAAATACATGAAATTGGTAAACCTTTAATCATACTAGGCCGGTATGTTAAGAATTTTTCCTTCAGATTTTAAAATTAAGGATTGCTCATAAATATGTATGCTTTGAGCTCTCACAATTTTAGTTATCTTTAAAAAATGGGAAATGAGTGGTGAACTGTTTTTTTTTCAAAGCTCCTGATATGAGTCCCACTGTGGACTAACCCTGTGTACTTCTGTGAGCATGCTGTCTCTTGTGCCTTGGTACCCAACTAAGCTGACCAGAACATGCATTGCTCTTGTCATCATTCTCTTACTCAAATATTTAAAATGGTTCTCTTTAGCACAGCAATCTCAAAGCCTTCATTTTGGTACAGTGAAGTCACAACTTGTAAGGCAGTTAGGTTTTAAGACTTTGCCTAAGGACACAATTTAGCACGCTCAAAATGATCCTCAAAAAAATCTCTTAAATGCCAATAAAGTTCTCTTTATAGTCTTATGGTTTGTGGAGTGATATGTAAGTACAAAAATATTATGCATATAGTAAATACAATATATAATTAAAAGTGCATATCAACATTAGACTTTTATAGCATTAATAATTACACTGTGGGTTTAATGTGTCTTTTTGCCAATAGGTATGGTTGGATTTATGTAAATTTACCTACAATCCTATCCCTTATAGTAGATTTAGACTGTAAGCTTCACAAGGGCAGAGATTTTTGTTCATGGATATAGCCCCAGAGCCTAGAACAGGGCCTGGCACACAGTAAACATTAAATAAACATGTACTGAGTGAATGAACTTTGGTGTAAATACCTGTTTATACTTTGACTCCTCTCTATCCTACTTGAGCTCCCATTGAACTCAGTGAAACAAATAAACCATTGTTTGGAATACACATGAATTTTGTGTGAAGAACTTTGTGGGGCACTGGGCAGTGGGAGACAAAAAGGTGAATAAGAAACAGCCCTCCCTTAAGAAGATGCAACTTCCATTGAAGATAGAATGAAGTGCATGCCATGGAAGAGACACAGATACCCCACTGAGGAAAACTGAGGAAGGAGTTTTCAGTTCTGATGAAGGGCACTGGAGATTTTGTGGAGAGGAAGAGCCTGGTAGCTAGGCTCACAAAGACAGATTGCCAGTGAGAGGAAGGTGCTGGTTCACCAGAACAGAACGAGGTATGCCCTCCTGGATGTATCCCTCTTGTTTGTCCAGACTTCCTTTGATTACTTATTCCCATTCATCCACACTAGTCCAAATCATACCTTGTTCAATCCCACCTGCTCTAGAATGTCTGTTTCCAGTACTAGCTCTACTTTTTCTAAACTCAGTAAGAGTTACTGTCTGTCTCATATACTTGACTATATTTCAAATTGTTCCCTTGATGCCACAAGAAAATAGAGATATTGGGTGTCTTTAAGTTCAAAGACTATCCTGTAGCACTTATGAATCCTCACTGCATTGGGTGAGTGACTACACAGTAGATTCCTACTTGAGTATTACCTGAACTGAGTAGCTTTGGATTATATACTGTTGGGGACTAGTGGAGTGGCTCAAGAGGTAAGTGTGCCTGCCTAACAAGCATGGGGCCCTGAGTTCAAACCCCAGTGCTGCCAAATAAATAATAAAAATTATAGTACTGTCAAGTTGACCAGCAACCCCAAGTCTGCATCCTTTACCCTTTTCTTGAGAGGCTTCTCAGCAAGACTTGCCATAGCTCAACCTGTCTGATATCTACTCTGTCTTACTCAAATTCCAAGACCTGGGCCATGTCTATGATACAGGATGCACTCCTGAAAAGTCAGATTATACACATGTCAGATCTTGTTTTTACAGTCTAGGATTTGGGTTATTCATGTTCTTGTGTTGTGATGCAAAATCGTGAGTCAGTTAAGACTTTCATCTTAAAGCATTACCAAGGGAAGTAAAGATTGTTCCATTTGTATTCAGGGAGTAACTGAATTTTACAGTTTGCACAGAACACTAGATCAGTGGCTGACTCAGAAAAACAATGCAATGTATTTGAGAGTTTTAGTTCAGTACTGACAAGACCTTACCACTGTTCTTTGGAAAGCTTTTTTTCTCCCTTTACTTTTATAAAAATATTAAGCTATACTTAATTGTCTAATAAAGATAAGACAGTTTGACCAAGCATCTCAAACTGTTATTTTTAAAATGACCAAGCATATGGGTAGAGCCACTTGTACCTGGAGTTAGGTAGTCTCATCATGGAAGAGTGGCTCTTTGGAAGAGATTGTCATGAAAGGTTAATACAAAGCACGTTGCTTTCTATATATCACAGTCACCATAAAACTTCACTGTAACTATTGTATGGCTTGTATGGTGGCAAGGAGGAGGGATTAGTCCTCAAGGTTACAGAGCAGGGTTGGAATTTTTAGACTTTGTCTTAACTTCAAAGCCCTGTCTTTCCACCAGAGACTGTGTGGCATGTATTTGAAAAGGAAGCCCAACTTGAGTTGGTGAATGGCTGTTAGACTAGATAATTTTACTGGCTGTGAACTAGATGATAACCTTAAAGCTTTCTTTGAGGCATGGATTGATGGATTTAATTAGTACTGCTAGTATTAACTATTTAACAAGATAAGTACTTAGAAAATTTGGTATTAACGTAAGTGAATAATTGTGTTACGTTTTAAAAGTTGAAGTGGTAGGCTTAAAAATCTGCAAATGGCATATTTTTAGACGTTTTAAAAGTTGAAGTAAAATTCCCAAACAGTGAATTGCACAGATGTTAAGTCAGATGAGTTTTGACAAATGCATGGTAAATCCGTGTAACTCACTCCCTAACCAATAGAACATGTGTATCATCTTCTCTTCCCCAAAAGTTGCCTGGTGTCTTTCCCATCGCTGGTTTTCCGAGGTCTGTGCTCTGATGTCTATCACCCTACCTTAGTTTTGTTTGTTAAATGTTTTGTGTGAAAAAAAGTAAATGGCAAACTATTGCACATTACTCAGCACACACATCTGTTCAACAACAGGGACCCCGTTCCGTCCTGTTTTAAAAAGACAACTTTTAACACAGCGGTTTTGGAATGTTCAGTTATTTTTAATCTAACTATGCCTGGCTCCAGGGGAAGAAAAGGAAGATGCGCTTTACCTGAACTGTGTTCTTTTGAAACTCTCAATGACATTTGGGGAAGCAAGTTTACAGCCCACACGTTATACCACCTCAGTGGCTCTTCTGTGGTCTCCCAGAAGAAAAAGGCCCTGGGGGACAGGTAATTGAAAGTGAAGTCTGGAGAGTGGCTGCTGGTCCTGGGTCCCGGCTGCGGGTGCTTGTGTGCCGAGTGGGTCTGCGTCCGCGTGGCCGCGTCCCCTGGCCGCCCGCAGGAGCTGTCCCGGGCGCGCGTTTCCTGCGGGTTTCCTGTCCAGCCGCGGGCGAGCTGGAGGCGGGCAGGAAAGCCTGAGCTGCCCAGAAGGGGCGGGAGGTGGGCGGACCTCGCCGGGCCCGGAATGACCCCCGCCCTCCTCTGCCCGCCTCCGGGTGTCGTCCGGGGCGGGGGCGGGTGCGGGAGCGGCGCACCGCGGGGCCAGGCACGCAGTCCCGGGGCGCGGGATGCTCGGCGCACTGCCTCGCGGCCCTGGAGGCCTCCCGCCCACCTTGTCACCTCGCCATCTCGCCCAGCTGGAGAGGTAAGAAAAGCCCTGGGCAGTTGCCCGCCATCCCGTGCCGCGGGGACCCTGGAGGCTCTGCTGGGGTTGGGAAACGCAGGTGGGCTGCGGCGTCCCCTCTACCGCCCGCCTCCGCCCTCAAGGACATACTTAAAAGGGGTTGGTGTCACACCTTGGAGTGGGCTCTCCCTTGGTGCAGGTATTGCCCAGTGACTGTTGCCCAGTCTGAGTTGTTGGGATCTTTGAAAAATCGCAACTTGGAATACTAAGTCGAGTTTATTTCTTTCCAAAAAGAAATCCTTTGTGGGATGTAAGCAATGAGATATAAGCATTTCAAGGCGGTCTCCATTAAGTGCCTTGCTCTGATCCCCGATGGGCCGGCGAGATTTCCTAGCATGAACTTGACTTGCCGCCTTCGGAAAGCTGAGTGTCTGGGGCGAGCGCGCGGCTGTGCAGAAGTGTGACCAGGGCACAGCGGCCTCCACTGAGTCTCTAAATAAAGCCCGTTTACACGAGTGGCTTTGGAACTGGGGTTTTCTCTTAATAAATATTATTCCTAGATCTCTACAAGGGCGTGTGCTTGTTTGTTAGAGGGGCAAAATCAGCTTGCCTCTGTTTTCCTCTTACTCTTTGACAAGTCGTGGATTCCATGAACACCAGAGTAATTAATTCCTTTTTTCCGCAGCCTTGAACGGGGTATAGAAGCATTTACTTAGATGGTTTTAGCAAAAACATGATCTAAAGCTGGGTGACGCATTAGTCATTGAGAATATTCACGTTTCCCCTCCTCTTAGCTGATACATTTAGTGTTTATCTTTATGTATGCAAATGCTATATACAAGTTTCCCTTTTTTTTTGAGCCCACTGCTGGTGCTCAAACGAGGGCCTCCTGCAAGCTAGACAAGCACTGTACCAACTGAGCTAAAACCTAACCTATAAAAGTATTTTCAAATATGTTGAAAATGTGCCCAAATTCTTATTTTTGTGAAATGATTCTCAAGCCAACCATTCTAAGTAACTAGTCATGGAGTTGGGAACATGTTGAAAGAAGATAAGCAAGCAAAGTAAATAAAAATATTAAAGAGGCATGCCATGGTTGTGGTCCTAATTCATACTATGACTTACAGGTAGGCTAGTTTATTTTATAATTTCATCTCTGTTCAGCTCTAAATATAGATCATCACACAAGTCTGTGTTTAACTGGCCATTTTCATAAGCAGGAAAATATAATCACAAAATCAGTTATGATTAAAGGCTTTTTTTTTTTTTTTTAATGACTATGGTAAAGAAGCAAGCAATTTGGGAAAAGCCAGTTCAGCTTTTGGGAGGTTGGTTGCTTCGTCTTAGTTTAGTTACTGAATCAGTGACTTAAAGGAAGCCTCAGAGATGGAGGGTTTTTTGACCTAGGCTGGTCTCGAGCTCCTGAGCCCATGGGACCCTCCTGCCTCAGCCTCCTCATAGCTAGGATTGCAGGCACTGGGGGACCGTCATGCCTGGCTGGAGGACGCTTTCTGTCTTTCACCTGCAGTTCTGGGCCAGCTTTCCCCATTTGTGTTCAGGGAAAGGATGGGTCAGGTCTGTGGCTAGTTCGACCACACTGGACTCTTCCTTTTTTTGTGTGTTGAGGAGGAAAGGGAGGTCTAATCATCTGCAAAATTACACTCTGAATCTCCACTTCCCTTTCAGGAAGTGCGATTTCCTTTGCTCAACTCACTCTTTCTGAAAGAAAGCTCATAGAGACACCAGTTTCCTTTCTACCAAATGTTGGCTTATTTCACTCAGTCTTCTTAATTTCTGTTCTTATCTGTAGGGATGTAACATACGTTTGGAATATAAGATGCTTGCCTATTAAAAATGTATTGATCGTGGGGCTGGGATGTAGTTCAGTGGTAGAGCACTTTCCTAACGTGTAGCAGGTTCAATCCACAGCACATGCGCGTGCACACACACATACACACACACACACAGACACACACACCTGAATAATAGGGAGTGGAAACATTGGAGAACTAGGTATTTGGTTAAGATGTCATCTGGTTTAAGATACCTTAAATGGCCTGCATCTTATTCTATAGGGTAGTGTAGCATTTGTACCAAAGTCAGTGCCTCTTTCTATAAATCCCTCTGACCTACAGACCAGTAAGTTCTTCCCTGCCCTCCTCGGTGGTCCCGGGAGATTGCTGCATGAATCACCACTCCTGATTCATACCAAGAACAACAATGAGTATTGGAAGATGGGCAGGAGGTGATCATTGTTATTTGTTTCTCCTTAGACTACCCCAAATAAGGGAAGTCAGGACCATATTTAATTGTAATGCACTGAATATCTTTTTCAAAGATTTTTATCATTTGGGTATAGCTCCAAGGAATCAGGAAATTAAGCAATCCAGATAACACACCAGTTGTGCAAGGGATGTTAATAGCTCACTTGTGGAAGCCAGGTAGGGAGGGTGTGGACATATACAGCCCAACGCTACATAGAAGTTTGGAAAAATTTAGTAAGTTGATCACTGTGAAATGCCAAGCATGTAAATAATGTGAAAGTGTATTATCCAGATTGGCAATTAGCTTTGATAAAGTTAATCAAGTCACAAACTCTCCACTTGAGGATATGTTACAAAGATAAGAGGCTGGTTGTTTTGTAAAAGCAATCTTGGCATTGGGCATGCCTGAATGTTATTGACAGATGAGCTATAATAGTTTCAAGCACCTTGTACCATTACAGGACATCACACCTTAGGGAGAACTAATGTCCTTCCTAGTTTCCTGTCATTATCACCTGGAAAGTTTGACTTCTTAGATTGGTTTTGTCATTTCTGATTTTATGAATTGCATGGAATGAATTATCATTTTTCAAGCTTCTAATTTCAGGTGTTTTTGAAAAAAAAATATATATATATAATCCCAATTTGGATGTGAAAAAGGACATGAGGAGACTAAAGACCTGGGATTTTGCTGATCAGAATGAAACCAATGTTGAAAGACTTCTCAAATTTGTTGCTGGTGGTGCTTTGGGACTATGGTGAGTATTGTGAACATACTCTTACTGCTATTAGGTACCAATAAAGAAACAATCGTGAGGTTTATACACATGGATGTTAACGATCCTGCACACAGGATTCCAACTTTACCTTGAGTGTCTTTTTCACGCTTAAAAAAAACACACTACCAACAAATGAGAGACAAGCGTGTTACCCCGAGTGTCATGTCACTTCATATCCACACAAAGATGTTTTGTGTATTGGGGCCCTACACAAGTTTCACTTGACAAGAGTTTTGCAGCTAGAATGTCTCTGGAAGCAACTGAATTTCAGTCCTTGTCAGTTGTGTGCTCTTAGATGTGTTTCTTAGTCTCTTCCAACCTTAGCAAGAGCATTGACTTCACAGGGTTGTTAGGGTAAAAGAAAATTGAGAATGTGGAACACTGTAAACGTTTGTGTGTATAGGAGATGCTTAAAGTTAGTTCTCTTTATCCAGTTTGTTTGATTTCATTTCTCAGAGTTTTATGCAACTACTGAGCCAATACAGTCAACAATATGGCATAATCTTCACTAGTTTTGATGATTTCTAGATATTTCATAGATATAAGCTGTTGATGGTGTGAGAAAGGAGATTGACTTCAAATTTGATGGCAAAATTATGATCTAAGACAAAGAGTACCCTGGCTTGTATATAGTATCATGAACCAAAGCATGTCAGTTCATTTCATCCAATAAATCTACTTTCTCACACTTTCCTTTTTAAGAAGTAGCTTATTTAAACAAGAAGACACTTGGTTTAAAACCAGTGTGGGATTTATGTATTTTAAAATAATCTATCCCTACTTAAAAACAGATTGCACTACATATGACAGCCTCTTACAAAAAATTATGTGTTCTTGGTTTCATGTCAATAAATAAAACATCAAAATTCTGCATTTCAACAAACCATGCCAGGATGTTTGTTGTTAAGAGTGAAATATCAGCTGGGCATGGTGATGCATGCCTCTAATCCCTGCACTGTAGGATGCTGAGACAGGAAAATCGAAAGTCTGCCATCAGGCTGGGCTGCATAGTGAGCCCCTGTCTCAAAAACAGGAAAAAAAAAAAAACAAAAAAACCACAGACTGCTAATGAAAATGAAGGTATTTTCAGACTTGTTTTTCCCCTTACATCTAGAATTGGTATGGATCAAAATATATGATTATCAGTTAGTTGCTTTTTCTTTTTTTAAAGCAACGTGTTTTTTAAAAAAAGCATGTAGAAGTGCCAGTTACTTTAAATTCAATTAAGAATGGGGAGAGGAGAAATGAAAGAATAGCGAGAATTATACTGTGCTCGTTAGGATGTGGCAGAACCAAATTGTAGTGTTTGAAGAATGTCTTCTTGCTTGTAGGACAGGAGTTTAGGAGTACATTATCAAGTTCTCCCTCAGTGCCTACCTCCTGTCCTGCTAGGCCCCACCCATTGCATCTTTGATTTCCTTTTCCAATTGGTCATGTGTGTCTGTCTCTTTCATCAGTTGCCTCCCATCCAATCAGAATGTGATCAGCCTTGTGACCAATCCCTGTCATTTGCAAATAGACCCCTTAGTAAACTAAGTGGCATGGGCCTCTTCATCTTAAAATGCACTCCAGAACCAGCCTGCCCACTTCAGATTCAAAGTAATAGGACTTTGCTCTCAGTCTTAACTCCTTCCTTGGGTTTTGGTGAGTATTGGAGGCTCTTTGGCCACTTACACACAAAAGCTACCTGAGGGGCCCCTGAACCGGCACCCACATTGTACCAGAATCAGCCACCTTCCTCAACCTGATTTGTCTCCAGATACAAAAGAATAGCCTTCAACTTCTGTTTTCCCTCAAGGAACAAGCGAAAAAACCTTTATTCTTTTATTTTCAAGTAAGTGTGATCAAACATCCAGTTCTACCCAAGTTTTATATATTTCATTTAGCCTCATCTCAAGTAAGACAGAGGTGAAGTGATAAGCTAATTTAAAAAGAAAATTTCTGTGCTAATTAATATTTGTGCAGATTCTACCAATCATTAATTAAATGCATATAAAAATATCTTAAAGACAAGACTATAAGTCCAAACAAAAAATACATGAGACCTTTTGGACATATGTATATGATATCTATAGTATATATAGCAAGAATAATAAATTCATAATTATACAAGTTGTTTCTCAAACCAAAGGGACACTGTAGTTCCTTAAATCTAGAGTCATTTCTCTTCTAGCCATGGGCCAGCTGATTGTCACATTGCCAAAGTCTGCCTCCTTTGATATCCATTTGGATTAGTTTCAAAACAGAAACAAGGATTCTTGTGTGTCTGTGTTCTTTGTACTGTTCACTTCAGCTGCTCTGCTGGGTCCCTTTTTAAAAGATATGATTGATCCTAACTGAATAATACTTGGGAGACTAGTAGTCATATGTCCTAAAGAGGCCAATACCAGTTGCCAAGGACAAGCCTGGTTATTTCATAAATGGTCATTCTGTCCCTTGGGTGACCCATCTGAATAATGTGTCTACATTTCTTATCCACTTAAAAATTTCTTCACATAAACAGAACAGTGGTTCCTCTACTGGTAAAAATTCCCAAGTCTTCAATATAATAACTTGAAATAAATTTAGTGTCTTATATTTTAAATTATAGAAATTTGTATGGTGTCATTTAAATCAACCTTTTTCTAATTCTGGTGTACATACATTTCTGCTGAATACCTAAAAACTACAATATGATTAAAATGAGAAATGCTAGGCATTGTCCTTTTAACCTGAGAACTGTCGACTCTAGCTTCATAGATTTTCATTGAAGATATATGCTGAATGTTGTGAATTCAGAGTACTTGTCCCTATTTTGCTATTCAAAACATCATGAAAGATGGCGAGGAACACAGCCACTTAGAATGGAATGAGCTCAATGCCCGCTCCCAGGACCTGTGTGTCACTTAACATTTTACATCATCCCTGGCTTGTTTTCAACTTCTGTAGTGTTTAAAATGCTGTTTTCATTAATGTCATTAATAGTGCTGCTCTAATGCACCTTTTAAAAACCAAATCTGACCATTTCATTTCAGTCCTCGGAGAAGCTGAATATCTCCTCTTTGTAGAGCGAGGCCATGTAGCGCTAAGCAACAACACAGTGTTGGTGGATTTCCAGTATTTTGACGATGCTAATGGGACACTGCGGAATGTGTCTGTCCTGCTGTTGGAGGCCAACACCAACCAGACTCTAACGGCCAAGTACCTCCTAACTAACCAGTCTCAGGGAACACTGGAGTTTGAGTGCTTCTACTTCAAGGAGGCTGGTGACTACTGGTTCACAATGATTCCAGAAGTAACAGACAACACTCCAGTTCCCTGGTGGGAGAAAAGTGCCTTTCTGAAGGTGGAATGGCCCATCTTTCATGTGGACATAAATAGGACATCCAAGGCAGCAGAAGGAACCTTCCAGGTAGGCCTTTTTACCAATCAACCATTGTGCGCATTTCCTGTGGACAAGCCTGACATGTTAGTGGATGTCATCTTCACCAACAGTCTTCCTGAAGCACGAATGAGTCTTGGACAGCCACTAGAGATCAGAACCAGCAAAAGGACAGAGCTCACTCAAGGTCAGTGGTTGGAATTTGGCTGTGCCCCTGTGGGGCCAGAAGCCTATGTCACTGTGGTGCTGAAGCTGTTTGGTAGAGACTCAGTCATTACTTCCACAGGACCCATTGACCTGGCCCAGAAATTTGGATACAAACTAGTGATGGTGCCAGAATTCACATGTGAGTCCAAGGTGGAGGTGATGGTGCTGCCTCCACCTTGCATCTTCGTCCAAGGAGTGGTTGCTGTTTTCAAGGAGGCCCCCAGAAGCCCAGGGGAGAGGACCATTCAGCTGGCTGAAAACAGCCTGCCTCTGGGAGAGAGGAGAACAGTGTTCAATTGTACTTTGTTTGACATGGGGAAGAATAAATACTGCTTTAACTTTGGCGTTTCCAGGAGAAGCCATTTTTCTGCAAAAGAGAAGGAATGCATGCTAATTCAGAGAAATATAGGTTGGTATTGAGATTTTTAAGCATTTGAAAATCAAACCAGTGTCTTCATGTAATCAACATTATTATTTAGAATTTAGGTGAGCTTTAGGTAAACTGTACTATCATTTTAATGGTTCATTCCTCAAACTGTACCAATTGGCATTATTATCCTTACCTGAAAATTAAGAGTACACTCATCCCTCAGTATCCTTGGGATTGGTTCTAGGAATTCCAGGATACCAAAATGGCATAGTATTCGTATGGAAGCTATGTACATCCTCCTGTATACGTTAAGTCATCTCTAGGTTACTTTTAACACCTAATATAACATATATGCTATGAAAGTAGTTATACTGCATTGTTTAGGGCATAATGACAAGAAAAAAGCCTGTACATGTTCAGTACAGATGCAGTTTTTTTCCCTAATACTTGGGAAGGGCAGCTGTTCCAGTAAACAGACCCACTTACTTTACTTAACCTCTTTAGGTCTCTGTTAATATGGGATAGTAAAAATACCTACCTTAGTGAATTGCAGGGATTGAATGAAGTAAATGTAATGTTCTTAGTGTAATGCCTGGCTTATGGGAAGCACTCTTATAAATGTTAGCTATTATTAGACTATATTTTTTTAAATTATTACATCATATAGGAAGTCCATGACAGAGATGATTGGAATTCAAGACTAAATTCCAAATTGTATTTAGTAACTTCCGTTTTCTGCTGAGCATCTCTTTTAAGTCATTCATTATGGGAATGAAGCCTCTTTACTAAGAAATCACAGCAAGAGCTCTAAGAACGTCTTCAGATTCAGTATTCTGGGCTGGAGGTGGGGCTCAAGTCTAGAGCACTTGCCTACCAAGCACAAAGCCCTGCGTTCAAACCAAGAAGGTATTCTTTGCGTAATTTTCTGTCCAATCATTGAAAAGTGGGGTTACATAGTGCCATCCACTACCGCTCATTCTACTCTTTTCTTCTTTTCAAGTGACGGTGATGAAACCCAGGGCCTCATTTCATTCATAGTAAGCAAGCAACCTACCACTGGCTCTCCCCACCCCCAGACAACTCCCTTTCTGCTCTTTGAGTTTCTTTCCCTTTCCCTGGGTACAAGCCTGGTCTTAGCAAGTGGTTTGATTTGGAAGAGATCATCTGGTTTTCTTACCTGCTTTTCTTATCTTCATCCTACAGAGCCTAGAGCCCTCTTGACTGCCCAGGCTTCTGACTATAATCCCAGATCTATCCATCTCTTCTTCTTAGAGTCTCTTTCCTTTAACTCACTCCCCTTTGCTTGCCTGCTCCCACTAACCTTTCTATCCTGCCTAGGATCTGTGACCCATTTCTTTATCCACCCTATTACTGGTACCCTAAATTCCTTTCCTGTTGGTCTTTTGATACCCCTGCCAGGCCACACCATACCGCTGCATGAATCCATCCACTTGCTGGCCATTTACTCAAGTCGCTGAGGTTACATGACAAGTTCACACTTGAGTGGACTGGTGCCACTATGAATGGCACACGCCTCCACCCATAGTTGGGTCTCCGTGCTACCCAGTAGGTCACCCTGGCCAGGTTGTGCTCCTGTTTTGCACAGCAGCTCGTTTATACCTTCTCCACTCTCCTCAGACCTCACCCCCTGCCTCGTGGTTAACTCTTGGAGTTGACTTTGCCATCTGCCACCTGGGAAGCCATTAGGTAGGAACACCCCACCCTCTTCCCAATGATCTGTAAGCCTACAGGAATCTGCTGCTTCTTTCCTGTCACCATGGAAGAAGTGTCATTCCTCCAATATCAGGTCAACCCTCCCCTCCACTGTGGACCTCTGCTCATTTCAGGAACCTTCTGTTAATCATTATCTCTCCCTCCCCCCAACTCTTGTCTTTTAAGTGTCTGATCCTATGAAGGCTCATTCTCATCGGCTTTGAAATGCATTTAATTTTTTTTATCATTTTTGCAGTGCTGGAGTTTGATCTCAGGGTTTAAGTGCTCTACCACTTGAACCATGCTCCCAGCCCCTTTTGCTTTACTTATTTTTCAAATAGGGTCTCAAGTTTTTCCCCAGGCTGACCTGGGCCATGATTCTCCTATTTTTGCCTCCACACATAGCTGGGATGACAAGCATGAACCACTACACCCAGCTTATTTGTTGAGCTAGAGGAAGAAAGTCTCACTAACTTTTTGCCCTTGGTGGCCTCAAACCTGGGTCCTCCTGATCTCCACCTCCCAAGTAATTGGGATTACAGGTATGAGCCTCCATGCCCAATCTAATTTTCTTATCATAAAACAACAAAGAATACCCCTCACAAACCCTGTGTTCTCCCTGGACATCACCTTCTTTCTCTTTTCTTCCTTTTGTAGCCCAGGTTTTTGAAAAGACATGTCTACACTTTGGGGTTTGTTTTCTTGCCTCATTCACTTCTTAACCTATTGCAAACTTGCTTTTACCCCTATTTCTCCCCTGAAAATACTGTCTCTAAAGCAGCCAGTAAATGAGTTTTAGGTCTCCAAATCCTCAGCAACTTCAGCCTGTATCTTCACTGACCTTGATTCTGTGTCATCATACCTGACTCATTTACCTCCACCTCCGTAGCTGCACCATCATGGTCTCCTAGGCAGGTCTCGTCTCTTTGAGAGTTGGTTGTCTCTTTTCACTCTTCATACACTCACTAGGCAATTGCTATCCTGATGCTAGTGGGTCCAAATAGGAACCTCTCCTCTGCCCTTCCCCTGCTGAGTAGCTGTCATCCCTCAGATGTTTCCCAGGTATCTTACGAGCAGGACATCTGGAACATGATGCATCATCTTAAACCCCAAAGCTTCTCCTCAGTGTAGGACTACACCACCCATCAAATTGTTCAGCTCTTCCTCTTCCTCTTCCTCTTCACCTCCTATAAAAATAAGTTCTATGCACTTGTCTCCTGGGTGTCTTACTCTCTCCACTTCTTCCCAGTTCCATGACTTGGTTTCATTTCCATCATCGCTTACCTGAACTCCTGTTAAAGATGCCTAATTGTTTCCCACCTGTCCACATAATTCTTTTACTGCAGCCAGAGGGGCTGTTTACAATTCAGATTTGCTGAGGCCATTGCTCTACACAAAATCTTTCAGTCCTCTTACTTGGAATGAGGATGAAAATCCACAAGGCGGATTGGGGAAGCTCATTTGGTGGGAAAACTCAACTTGTGGGTTTTCATTTGGCTCACTTAGTATGCCTGACACATTAAAAGGAGCTCAACACAGGTCTACTTTTTATTTATTTATTTATTTATTTATGACAGGGTCTCGCTCTGTAGCCCAGGCTGGCCTCAACTCATGATCCTCCTGCCTCTGCCTCTTAAGTAGCTGTGATCGCAGGCAGGCACACACACCTGGCTTCAATATGTGTTTATTAAAATGCAATTGAATTGAGGTCTGGCTAATCTCAGTTAAAGTATTACAAAAACAGGTCGAATTGATTCAGTCATCCAAGATATTTTTATCTTTTCAAAAGAAGATACATGTTCAGGGGAAAAAAATTCTGACTAAAGCTAATCCAAATGAACCAAGGCAAATCAAGGAGCATAGGCTGCTCGATTAAAGACATCTGAGGCAGAAGGACCCTCTTGTTTCACCAGTCTGCTGGGCATCCAAAGATGCTAATGATGGATTTTTCCACAGAAGCATCGGGGAAGATACTGAAAATGGGCGTGGTGGAGAGTGGATCTCTGTGTGCCCAGGCTAGGGGTGCTGCTCTGTGCAGCAGCTTCACACAACACAACATCAGGGCTGGGAATGGTAATCATAGGAGCTAAACACAGATTCTCATGTGGCAGTGATCTGACCTTGACTAAGAATGAAATTTATACTTGAATAGGAGCCTCAGTGTCTTCCTGTGTTTTTTGTATCAGTTGAGAATCTCTACTCCAAAAATATGAGGTCCTAAATACGCCAAAATCTGGGCATCTTTGAGCACTAACATGATGCTACAAGTGGAAAATTCCATACCTGACCTCCTGTGATCAGGTTGCAGTCAAAACACAGGCATTAGATGGGTGTGGTGGTACACACCTATAATCTCAACTACTTGAGAGGCAGAGGCTGGAGCATCAAGGTTTGAAACCAGTCTGGGCAAAAAGTGAAACCCTGTCTCAAAAACAAACAAAAACACAAAAAACAAAACAAAATGCTGGGGACATGGCTCAAGTGGTAGAGTGCTTGCCTAGCATGCTTGAGGTCTTATGTTGCATCTCAAGTACAGAAAAATAAAACAAAACACAGGCATAGCACAAATATTGCATAAAATTACTGAGCATTTATAAGGTGCGTATGGAACACAAATGAGATTTGTGTTTCAGCTTGGGTCCCATTTCTAAGGTATCTCATGATATATATGCAAATATTCCAGAGCCTGAAATACTTCTGGTCTCAACCATTTTGCTAAAGAATACTCAGCCTTCTATACATTTGTGACTGAACTGAGTTCTCCTCATTTTCTATTTAAATTGACCTGTAAAGGCTATCTTTTTTTCCAAATGACATCATTTAGGGACCCACCACGACTTGTATGAGCCACTAACTCTCTGAAATTCTTGTTAGTTCTTTTTGAAAGTGGAATAACATGTTTTATATGTTTATCTACTCTTCTAAAGATGTCTTTGGACCATAGGAACAAATTTTGCATGTTGCCAAAAATGACTATTTATGATTTTTGCACAGCTATTACTCAGCCACAGGCAATATTCTATTGCTTTGTGGCTATTAACCTGTTGATACCTCATAACCCTGTGACTTTATTCATTATGGTGTCAGTTTTATAGAGGAGGAAATGAAGACACAGATGGCTACATAATTTGCCCAAGGTGTTTGAGTGGTAAAGCCAGAACACAAAACCAGGTAGACTATGGGCTGGGGGATATGACTCAGTGGTAGAGCATTTGCCTAGCATGGGTAGCGTCCTGGGTAGACTAGCTTGAATGTTTGCTTTTTTGTCACTATTTTGTAATGACCATCCATATAATCAGCTGTTGGTTCATATTAACTACTAAAAACTTTTAGGTTAAAATAAAGGTTCTGTTTTTTCCTCTTTGGCTGGCTTGTCCTGTGCCACCCCTCTTCCCTTGCTTGGAAGACCCGGGTCTTGCAGTACATAGTCTAGGCAGAAGCATGATTTGTTCAGTGTAAGTGAACCTTGCTCAGTGCAAAGAAAATCTGAACTGAACATTCCAAAGTGCCTTTGCTCCTCCTGCTACTTCTAGCTGTAGAATTTTCCTATAAGCATGTTTTGTTTAGTTACCGTGGTCTCTTGAGCAAAATATATTACAGATGTGAATATTTCATAGGCTTTAGTCCCTTCAGTCTTGAAGACAGAAACAAATTTTCCTTTTCACATTCCTGACAAATTTTGCTTGTTCTGAACTAGTATCATTTTTAGCAGCCCAAAAGGCATCGAGCCTGGCCAAACAGGTATGCTGTGCAGTGTGCACACATGTATGGATATCTAAACAGGACCGAATGAAGTAGCCTTTCATTCATGAAGAAAGAGTATTTGGAGTATCGCTTATTTGCTCCTTATGTCTCATGCATGAACTATAGCTAGCTAATAAATTTACACCTGCAAAGCATTTTCCTCTTATTAGCAAAGATCTTCAAGGACCCAGTGTTTAAGGCATTTTAAAAATTTTGCCTGATTAAATTGATCATTACTTAATTTGAGTGATTTCTTGTTAATTAATTTGATTTAGAAATAGACATAAAAGCTTAGCTTAAATGTTTGGGTTTTTTCTTTGCCTTTTTTTTTTTTTTTTGGTGGTATGGAGTTTGAACTCAGGGCCTCAAGCTTGCTAGGCAGGTGCTCTACCACTTCAGTCACACCCCCAGCTGTTTCTTCATTGTTAATTATCCTATAAGTCATGATTTAACTTTCAAGGGAAAAGAACACTTAATATTTTTAAATGAGATTGTTTTGACATTAAGATTCATACTTGGATTCAAACTGATTTTTTTTTTCTGGTCTCCACTAAAAAAATTTTTATTTAAAGCCCAACAAATGACTCTATATATTTAAAGAAATTAAAGAAATTAAATATATTCTTGTGTAAACTAAAAGAATGAGAAAGAGAGAAGATTCTTAGCTTTTCTAATTCTAGCTTTTGTGGTCTTAAACACAAGCATATGAGGAGAAAAAGTATATGGACTCTTAATTTGGAGTTCAGTCATGGGACTCACAAGGGATTTTTTCAAAAATAAATCACACTAGTTTAACTCAGAGAGACTTTCATATGAGATTCTCAAACTTTTCAACTGGGGGCTTAGTGTCTGAGCAGCTCTGAAGCTTTGTGGACAAAGCCTGCTCATTGTTCTATCACACGAGGAGCACAGTGTGATCCAGGAGGCACAGAACCAATATTGTGTTCAGTTGGACCTCTGCATGGAACATCATTACCGCACCTTAGTTGGTGTTAGTCCAGGATACTTGCTTGTAATGCTCCCACTCTTGTGCAAATCCTCAGAGACTTTTAATTGCTGTAAAGAACTCATATTCCATGACTCACTCCAGAGATTGCACCACTTGGCTCCCCTGAGAATGCATCTGCCCTACACATTTTCCTTATGTTTTTGTAGTGCTTTGTACACCTTTGGCTGTGTTAGAAATGTTTGTTCCTAAAGGATGAAAAGATACTTTTATACAGAGAATGTTTGGGTGTTTACTGTTGCCAGGACCTTATGAGTCTTGGGGTTGGGTGGGTGCTGATAGAGAAAGGACACAGGCTAATTCTTTATAGGGAACAATTCCATTATTCTTTTTGGCAATAATAGCATATCTGCTTGAAGAGAAGTTTGCATGTATCAGTCAATATTGGCTCTTTGGCTGGTGATGTAGCTCAGTGCTAGAACACTTGCCTAGCATGTGCAAGGCCCTGGGTCCAGTCCCTAGCACCCAAACCAAACGAACAAACAAAGCCAACAACAGCAAAAAGACTGCCTGGGAGTTTTGTTGTGTAGTTTGAAGTTCTGTTAGGTGGATCTACACCTAATTCAGGCTCCTTCCTGAATTATTGTTATATAATGCTCTTCTTTATCCCTGGTAAGAGACTGGGCTCTGCATCCTGTTTTGTCTGATTCTAATACAGCCAGTCCAGTTTTCTCCTAATAGTCACAAGATATGTCTTCCATCCTTTTTCGTTTAACCTATATATGTCTTTATATGTAAAGTGGCTTTGTGTTTTTTTTCTTTCACAGAATATAGTTGGTGTTTCCTATAATACAGTCTGACAAATCCCTGGGTTTTTTTTTTTTGGCGGTACTGAGATTTGAACTCAGGGCTTCACACTTGCTAGATAGGCACTCTCCAACAATCTGTTTTTTTAAAATAGACATGTTCAGATTATTTATAAATTTTAATTTTACAATTATACTTTTGGGTTAAAGTCTACTATTTTGCTGAGTTCATATTTGTTTGGTTTTGGTTTTTCATAAGTTTGAATATTGTGTGTATAAGATTTTTGTTTCCTTTTTGTATTTTATACTGCTTGATGTTTCAAGAATATCTTCAATCTGTGGTCTAGTATCTTTCATCAACTTTGGAGAGGTTTTTGACATTATCTCTTCAGTTATTTCCCCTGACCTCTCTTTTCCTCTTGGTATTCCAATGACATGTGTAAGAAGCTGAGATCATTCCATAGCACTTTGGTCTTTTGTTTTATTCACTCTTCACCTACTGTCTTTGTCTTAGACCATTTTGTGCTGTTACAACAGAATATTGGAGACTGGTAATTTGTAAAGAGTATAGATTTATTTCTTAGAGCTCTAGAAGCTGGGAAGTCTGAGGTCAAGGGGTTTGGATCTGGCCAAGGTCTTCCTGCTGTGTCATCCTGTGTCAAAAGGTGGAAAGGCAAAAGAATTTGAGTGTGTGAGAGAGGTCAGTCTTGTAGGCTCAATTCTTTTACAGTCAGTATTAACCCATTCATGAGGACAAAGCCCGCAGGACCTGAACACTTCCCATTACACCTTCTCATTGCACCCTACATCCCAACACGGGCACACTGGGCATCACATTTCTAATACTGCTTTTTGGGGGACATATTCAACTCATAGACTCTGTGTTTCAGTTTGGGTAATTTCTATTATCTATTTTCAAATTCACTGTTTTTTCTTCATCTGTGTTTAATCTATTCTGAGCCCATAGAAGGCATTCTTCATCTCTGTTCTTAATTCCAACATTTCCATTTGACTCTGGTTTGCAACTCTGATGAAAAGTTCTATTTGTTTATGTATCTTGTTCACATACTTCACTAAAGTCTTTAACATATTAATCATAGTTATTTTAAATTCTCTCTCTAATAGGTCATATCTGAGGCTGGTTCTTTGGTCACTTTGTCTTTTGGTAGTTTATTGGTTTTTCATTGCTTTTTTGCACATCTCAGAATTATTGTTTGAGAGCCGAAAATCTTGTTTGGAACTGTAGACATGGAAGAAGTAGTATTTATGCCTGGGAATGAGATATCTTTGTTTTCACTAGGTCTTCAGTGTGGGTATTGGGTTAATGTAGTAAGGAACTGTGCCATGTTGGGGTTTTTCCTGTTGCTATGGCTACCCTTAGTGCTCCACAGTTTTCAGTATTTTCCAGAGTTACTCTGTGTTTAGGATGGGCATTGCATTGCCAGAGAGCTTTCCTCCAAGCTTCCTTCTGTTACACCTTCAGCTTTAGGCTTGAGCCTGCAGATCAGACAGGTTTTTGCCTTTCCTCCAGCACTGTGGTGTTGTTATTTGCCACACGGTAGTGGTTTAACCTTTTCTTTGGCAGTTGCTGTGTCTGAGACTCAGGGATGGGGCCTTCTTGATGATCCACCCAGAGGTGGAAGATCTCTAACAGTGTAGGCCCAGGACATTTTCAGATTCTCCTCAGGAACCAAGGATTTTTTTCTTTTTCTATTCCCTAGGATTGAGTGGTCTCAACTGATGCTGCCTTTTGCTCAGTGGTTATGGCTGTTGTTCTATGGAGGGAGGGTATGTGGGGAAAAGATCTGGATCAGGTTTTGTGTCTTTTCCCCAGTAATATATCTCTTCCCTCTCCAGACTTGCACCGGGGAGAGGCTTTACCCTGTCTTGCACTTGACCTCAGTGCTTCAAGTGAGATCCCTAGAAAAGAGCCTGCCTGGGTATAATTTCCCTTGTTATATTGCTCCTAGGGGTTCTGTGTTCTCATCCTCACCTGCCCTAGGCTTTTAGCAATTCATTACATATTTAGATGGATGCCTTGCACCAGCTTGTGTGGGTGAGTCCTGGAGTCTATCCTAGGTAAGCAAATGTTGCATCTCCTTTTTTTTCCTTGGAGGGGCCTGTCTTTCCTGATGCAGGCTGGTTCGTTGTCCTGTGACCTCAGCTGTCTGGTGGCTTCTAGATTATACAGCTTTTCTTTGTTTTAAGGTTAGGAGTAACACTTCAGATTTCTCCTTCTCTGAGAGTATTTTTACATGACTTTTTAAGACCTGAGATTTCAGTTTGGCTGCTTCATTTGGGTGCAGTTAAATACTGATCCTCAAATGAACTAGCATTGAAAGCATGACTTATATCCTTGCAGAAACTTGGGGATTGTGGCAGCCATGGAGCCAGTGTAGCACCACATGTGGGGATGGTGTCAGAGAGCGTCGCCGAGCGTGTCTCACTTCCTTCCCCTCCAGACCCAGCTGCCCTGGAATGTCCTCAGAGACCTCCCTGTGCTCCCTGGAAGAGTGTGCTGGTAGGTATTCTTTCTTCCTTTGTGAGTCTCCCCCAGGGCCTCTTCGGGAGGGAATATTGAACCAGCAGTCTGCATTGAGATCTGCTCTGAGATTTCTCTGGGTTGTTCTAACCCTGTCTTCACTAGTGCGTCTAAGACCAGAAAGAGCTGAGAAGTAACTTGCCTGTGAGATGATGGGATCTAAACACAGTAGAGGAGAGAAATGACAAGGAATATAGCTACTTAAAGACTCAGGCATATTAAATAACTTTTAAAATACAAAAATGGAGTGGGAGGAGAACATTCATTTCTTCCTTAGTTTTTTTTTTTTTATTTGATACAGGCCTCCAACTTGGAATCCTCCTGCCTCAGTGTCCTGAGTGCTAAGATTATAGGTATCTTTTGTCATTTTTCCCTCTGCTTTTCCATTCCTTCCCCACTCTCCACCCCCATACCCTACCTCCCCAAAAAAACCTGGTAAAATATTTTTCCAGTAGTTTTTTTTTTTTCTCTGCCATCCCAAGAAGCTTGAGGGGACCACATAGTTTATTTATTATCAAAATGGGGCAAGACACTGTCTTTTCCCCTTTGTGACCTAAATTTATTCATTATTATCCCCATCTGGGAGGAGGAGGTAGAATATTTTTTCGTGCTATCACCTGGGGACTATCCTCTCGTGTAAGGATACTCACATGACTCAGTTAAGTTTGTGGAGCCTGATCTTGTCTGTGTGACATAGTTCCAGCAATGAGTGACTCTTGTAGTTCCACACACCATCCCACCTCCTGACAGACAGCCCCTGGTTTGTTGGCCAGCATCTGCTCTGGTTCTGTCCCTTAAAGTCCTTCCATCAAGTCTCACCTTCTTTTTCTCTCCATTTTCAGATTTCAAAGTCTGTCCTTAGTTCCTTGGCCCTGTGGGATGTGGGGGAGTTAGGTGCTTGGTTTTATTTGGATCTCAGACCACCTTTTAGCCAAACTGCAGGCCCCTGGCAATGTGCTCAGCCAGTATCCTGGCCTCTAAAATCCTTCTTATGGACTGGGGATGTTGCTTAGTGGTAGAGGACTTGCCTAGTATGTGCAGGGACCTTGGTTTGATTCCCTAGCACCACAAAACAAAATCCTTCTTGCTGTTTTCGCTTTCTAGCTAGATGCCTTGTTCCTTTCCTTCAGTATTTCAGCATCTGAAGAACTTGGTTCTTCTCTCTCTGTCTCTCTGCTCTCTTTTGGAGGTAAGAGGTTTGAACTCAGAGCCTCTTGCTTGCTAGGTAGGTGCTCTGCCACTTCAGCCATGCTTCCAGCCCTTTTTGCCTTAGACTGTTTATTAGATAGGGTCTTGTACTTTTGCCTGGCTGTCCTCAGACAAAGATCTTCCTATCTATGCCTTCCACATAGCAGGGATTATAGGCGTGCACTGCCACTCCTGGCCAAGAACTCATTTCTCTCTTCTGTCTTTTTCTTATTGTAGCCCCAAGTTCTTCTCCCAGCCCTCAGTCTACCCCGTCTTCTTCATAAGCCCTGGGTCTCCTCTCTGAATTCACTACTTCTTCAATTACATCTCAGACTGTTTTTTGAAGCTCTCTTCTCTGTCCATTTCTCTGTAAGTTCCTTTTGCTTTCCACAGTTCCTTCTGTGTATAAGTTCCTCCAAATACACCTTACTCTGCCAGTTCTGGGATGGTACATTGTGTTAAGCCACTCTATCCAGAGTTCCATAATACTCAAATGAATTTAAAATCTATTGCCACAGGCTTCTACTGTTCTTTTTTTAACAGTAGAATATCAGCCATTTATTGACCACCTGTTGTATACCAAGACTTCAGATACAATTCCACAAGGCAGGTATTATTTGCTGATCTCAGATCTTGACAGCTTACTGCCTGGAAGGCATTTTTCTAGGTTCCTACATATAGGAAGTCGGTGTAGCTGCTCCTGAATATCTGCAGGTTTTACTGCCATGGATTCAACCAGTCACAGATGGAAAATAATCAGAAAAAATTTCATCAGTGCAGACCATGTACAGACCTTTTCCTTATCCTTATTCTGAAACAGTATAGTATCACAACTAGTTACATAGCACTTATGTGTACTAGGTATTATAAGTAACCTAGAAATTATTAAAAATATACAGAAGGGTGTATGTAGATTCTATGGACATACTAATCCATTCTATAGAAAGGACACGAGTACCTGTGATAGCTGAAATCCACAGCGGCCAAGGAATGATCTGCACTATTATTTCCACATTACACACAAAGGATTCTGGGCCATGGAGGAGGATTAACTCTGGGGCAATGCTCATAAACAAGGAATCACAGGACAAGAAGTGACTCCATAGTAAGTTGTCTGTCTTGGATACTTTTGTGTAGAAATCTGGCTTTCTACACAAGCATTAGCAACTGGAATTGGCAATCCTTTTGGAGGAAATGTGATTGTATTTCATGTTCTGGTATCTTAATTCTGTAACTCTGGGTTGGACTTGTAAATACAAGCATCATTAATTAGTAAGAAGGATAAATGCTAAAGACATGCCTACTTCTACACTAAACAGACCTCAGATGAATACTTAGTTGGATAAAAAATGATTCTTTCTTCCAAGTCTTCTCTTCTTCTGATATCACTTATTTCCCACTTCTGTTTTCAGGCTGCCTAGCATCAGGAGATCTTCCTCTCTTCAGGTGACTCAGGAAAGACTGAATGAGGCAGGGATGGGGCAAGCTGGTAGCTTCCAGGCTTTTTTCCAGCTGTGGTTTTTAAGGGAGCCAAGCAGAGTCAAAAGATAACTGATCTAAGAGCCATGATAGCAACACTGCTACCTACTGTCACCAGCAGCCAGTGCAGATGAAAGAAACAATTAATCAGGGAACAAGTCTTTCACCCTTCAACTGCTTTCAGTGGGTTGGGAGTTCAGAGTTTTGTTTGGCTCTCAAAGAATACTTTTATGCCAGGCCTGAGTGTAGCTTTGCATTAATTTGGTCTTTCTTGTTCAATTAGAAAGTAGGGGGATCCAATTGCTGTAATACACACATTCCATCTGGTGGAATGTTGATTATTTTACTGTTGTCTTTTTAATAGTGAATCAATTAATTGAACTAATGCTCATTGCGTACCAACTATGTGCAAGTTACTGTTGGGAATATATTAAATACCTTAATAAGATATGTCCTCATTTTGAAAGGGCTTACGGTAGTGTAACCTGGGAGGTACATAAAAAGGCACAATACACAGTAAAATATAGGGCCTGCAATGATAAAGGTATCCACAGCTTGCTATGAAATCTTGCAGGGTGGATGATCCATGACAGGAACAACTGAATTCTTGGAGCAGGTGATATTTGAGCTGAAGTTTGAGAGCTGAGAAGGTACCACCCAGGTGAATGAGGCAAGCCTGGGAGTTTTAACCAAGGGAGCAATGAATGAAGGCCTGGAAGAAGGTGGCTCAGTAAGAGACCTAGAAAACTACAACTAGTTTCCTGTGGCTAGGATGTGTGCCAGGAGGGGGTGGTAAAAAACAGGCTGGGTGGGTGTGCAGGAGCCAGATCCTGCCTGAGGGCATTTTAGAGGGACCTCTGGCTATAGCATGGAGTACAAATCAGAACAGTAGGTGTGGTGAAGAGGTGCCGATTTAGGAGTTTTTCAGTAACTCATGTGATAATGAAAGTGCCAGCTGTGAGGACTGAGGGAGGGGGTGCCAAGACTCCAAATGTGATGAGTGCTAGAGCGGCAAGAAGGAGGAAAGCTAGGAGTCTAGTAGTGGCCACTGCTTGGTGACAGTGTCATCCCCTTGATCTCAGGAATATCAGAGGAGGCACAGGTTCCGGGGGGAGATGCTGAACCTTGGACAAGTTGAGATGGACATGGCGGGACATCTAACGTATATGAATCGCCCTGATCCAAAGTTCCTGCTCTTCTCTCCAAATCACAGGAGTGAGTACCATCATTGAGCAGGTGAGAGAGTTCCAGGTGGCACCCGACAGTAGCTAGCGCTGCAGGACAGATCACCTTTACTTTTGGAGTTAGGAGGTCATTCATTCATGACCTTGATAGAGGCTGTTTCATTGGAATCCCGAGGGCAGTTTGCAGGCGACAGGGGTGAGGATGGGGCAATATGTCAGTGTGTGGCTGGGGAGACCAGGAATAAGATCTGGCAATTGGCAGTGTGAGAGAGTAAGAGAAGAGTGTACTGAAGGTGACAAAAGTTTGTGTGTGTTTCCATGCTGAGTAACAGGAGTCACATAGAGGAGATGCTGGGGATGATTGGGACAGAGGGATGATCCTTTTAGAGAAAGGATATATATAATAGAGAACACATATTGGTGGACTCACTTTTGTAGGAGGACTCTTGTCCCCCTAGTTGGGTGAGAAAGAGGAAGTAAACAGGTACAGCTGCTGAGAAGTTTATGGGGGCAGGGAGGATGGCAGAAGAAGCTGGGGGTGTACCTGTCTGATTGGTTCTGTTTTTTGATGACCTCCCTGACTATGGGGGAGGCAGATTGGGTAGAGGGCTTGAGGAAGTGGTGAAATCAGAAGCAGGTATTTTTAGGGGATGAATGAGAGAGTTGCTTAGTAACTCATGGGAGGCTTTGTGGGCAGTGCAAGGCTGAGCACTATGATTATGCAGAGGCACAGCCTGCATAGTCATGGGATTTTTGTTTTGAGACAGGGTCTCACTATGTAGCCTGGGCTGACCTCAAATTCATGGTCCTCCTGCCTTAGCCTCTAGAGTACTGGGATTATAGGCATGTGCCACCATGCCCAGCATTCATGGCCTTTTCCCCACCTTCTGGTGATCAGGGACTGTGAACAGCAACTGAGGATTCATGTGTCTGAGTTTGTTTAGGGTGAACTTTTGCAGGGGGTGGGAATAGCTCAGTGTTAGAGCCAGAAAGTTGAAGTATTGGAAAGAAAATGGGGTCAGTGATGGATTATGGGTATGAGTTGGTTAGGGACAGAGTGAGGCCAGGAGGCAGCTGGCAGATTAGGAGGAAAGGGAAGGTTAGAGAATTGAAAGTCTTAGTGAAATTGGAAGATACAGTGTAGCAACCATGAGTGAGTTGGGGAGCAAACACAGCAAGAAGGGGCGGTGAAAATTAAGATTCCAGAAGTAGGGTTTGGAAGGACACTTCAGTAGTACAGATTTTGACTAATATGTATGAGGCTCCTGATTTGATCCTCAGTACTACAAAAACAATTTTTTTGGAAGAGCAGCTATGGACAATGGGAAAGACCTAGGTGCTGGATGGACACTAAGTTGCTGGGATTGTCCTAGCTCTGCAATGACAAAAACAGGATCCCAGGTGCTAGAGTGATTGATGGTGTTGGGGTGGGGAGCAGAAGGATGGTCTAGGTGGCTGGCATGGGCACCAAAGTAGCAGAAGTTTCATGTGGAAGTGAAGGAGTACTGGTTGAACTTGGCAGTTGGGAATGAAATTGGGGACACACTGTACTGCTGGCCCTGTTTGCTAATTAAGAAGTGTGTGTAACAGTTACCCCCGAGAGAGTGGAAGGGAATGGGTGAGTCTCAGTTCAAGCAAGGACGCCAAGGGCATCCTCTATGGGAAGATGGGAAGGTGGGAAGGTTGGGGATGATAAGGAGTTTATAATCAGGCATCCTCGTACAATAGAAAGGCACAAGGGGAACAGCAGAGGACAGGCCAAGGAGATGAAGCACAGAGCTATGAGAAAGCAGAGCACAGTGCCTGGAAGGGCTTGAATGGTGGACAGTACCCAAGGGGGAAAGAGTTGCAGTCAGATGGCATTAGTTGATCTCAGATTTCCAGGTGTTTTGGGGGCAGTATAGGCAGTGGATCCAGGTGGCATCTACTTATTGGTGAAACATTTTGAGGACCGTGGGACAAAACAGTTTAAAGAGTGGGGAAGAAAAACTGATGCCACATGGAAGGTGGGAAGGAAGTGGACAGCTGAAAAGAAGTGAGAAGCCAGTGGCATCTGTACTCAGAAAGACAGTTTCTGGATATTAGAGGAGAAAAGAGTGGTACATATGCTGCCAGTCTCATTTTCCTCAATAAATTTCTCTAATTATTGAGCAAGTATAGTCACAACCTACTTACATCATTTTGTGTTTCAGATTTTATACTTGTTAAGAATTGCTCCACATACCTCTCACAGGTACAGAGATAATCCGTGTTTGCATTGTTACAAATGAAAACCTTGATTTTTGCCTTGACATTTTGTACCTCCTGCTTCAATGCAGATAATGTGAGAGGAGCTTCATCAGGAGTTGTTGGGCACAGAAGTCTCTCTCATCTTGGTTTCCCTGGCCTCCTCCCTTTTGTGGTCTCCCTTCCTCTTTACCGTGAAGCCTTGTGTGGCATCAGCTCTCAGCAGAGATCCATTTGTAAGGGTAGAAATCCCAGCCCTCATTTCTTTTCCTCCTCCTCTTTAACTTCTTTGATAATCAGAACAAGCAACACAAAGGCCTTAAAACCTTGCAGAGAAATCAACACCAAAGAATCTATTCTTCCTCTTTTTGTAGTTTTCCGGCCATCCGGCCCATCTCCTCTTCCACCCCAGGATCCAGTGAAGTCCAACAACATCGTGACGGTCACTGGGATATCCCTGTGCTTGTTCATCATCGTTGCCACTGTGCTTATCACACTGTGGAGGAGGTTTGGCCGGCCCCCTAAATGCAGCACCCCTGTGCGACACAACTCCATCCATTCCCCAGGCTTCCGGAAGAACTCAGATGAGGAGAACATCTGTGAATTGAGTGAGCAGCGTGGGAGTTTTTCGGATGGGGGTGATGGGCCTGGGGGGAGCCCAGGGGACATGGGCATTCCTTTGACCTACAGGCACAGTGCACAGGTGACTCCTGAGGATGATGCTTCTGGCAGTGAGAGCTTTCAGTCCAATGCACAGAAGATAATTCCCCCATTGTTTAGCTACCGCCTTGCCCAACAGCAGTTGAAGGAGATGAAGAAGAAAGGTCTGACAGAAACCACCAAAGTGTACCATGTATCTCAGAGTCCCCTGACAGACACCGCCATTGATGCTGCCACCAGCCCCCAGTTAGACTTGGACAGCCCAGAAGCAGCAGCAGCAAACAAGTTCCGTATCAGATCTCCATTTCTGGATCAGCCCGTGGTGAGTGCTGGGGAGAGGCCTCCCGCCAGGCTGGATTTCAGTGTATCTCCAGCTAGTTGTGCCATCAGCCCCAGCCAGACCCTGATCCGCAAATCACAGATGAGGCACATGGGTGGCAAAGGGGGCTCATCGGAGAGGAACCACTCCAGGAATTCCCATTTCCGGAGGACAGCTAGTTTTCATGAAACCAAGCAAGCCCGGCCATTCCGAGAGCGGAGTATGTCCACTCTGACTCCACGCCAGGGCCCCACCTATAGTTCCAGGACACGGACTTGGGACCAGACAGAGGACAGGTTGAGGCCTTCCAGTCGAGGTGCCCACCTGCTTCCTGAGAAATCTGAGCATTTCCAAGGGGTGGGTGGAACCAGTGATCCATTAAGCCCTCTCCCTAAATCTTACACCATGGGGCAGCCCACGAGGAAACCAGACCTGGGGGATCGCCAGGCAGGATTAGTGGCAGGAGTTGAGAGAACAGAGCCTCGCAAATCTCGGAGGGGGCCATCCCCCAGTCATAGGAGTGTCTCAAGGAAGCAGTCATCTCCCACTGCCCCCCAAGATAGCTATCAGAGGGTCAGTCCCCTGAGCCCTTCTCAATGCAGAAAAGACAAGTGTCAGAGCTTCCCTGCTCACCCTGAGTTTGCCTTCTATGACAACACATCATTTGGCCTCACTGAGGCCGAGCAGAGGATGCTGGACCTCCCAGGATATTTTGGATCAAATGAAGAGGATGAAACCACAAGTACACTTAGCGTGGAGAAGCTAGTAATCTAGACCAAGAAACTTTTCTCACCGGGGGTCTTTTGCTCAGCTTGCAGTATCCCCCACTCACATTCTGCTGTGGACTGTTTTGTGTAACTGCTTGCACAACAGGTCAGTAGAGAGGAAGTAGCTCACAGAGAGGAAGATGGGTGTATGCGTGTGTTTTGATTCATAAGGAAGAAATTATTTATCCTAAACGTTTACTTTTGTTATCCTATTTCTCTTGGCTTATTGCTTATAACAATAATAAAATTTAAATAAAAACAAATAGAGTTTGGTCTGTCAAGTAGACATGAGAGATGACAAGATGGGACCTGGGAGTATGCTGTGCTTTGAACACCACATTGGTGGTTTCCAACTTAAGCAGAAATCTGGAAACCTCACCTACTAATTAATAGGGACTAGAGTAAAGTTAACTTGATATCATAATTCTGAATTATAGCTTTGTAAGTTGCATGAACATAAGCATTTGCCTCTCACTAGGACAGCATGGAACAGCTTCATATTTGACTGATCATCAGACCACCAAGCTACCTAGAAATGGTGACCCCACAAGATATTCTAGAAGAACTTGCAGGCCACAGTTGGTTGGGATCTTAATGCAATGATGAGTCCATATGACTTGACAAAATTGTGTGAATTCACTCTGCTTTGGAGAAGTAACAAAAAATCTGATGGTTCAGGTTGTGAGCCAAATGAAAACCTAGGCATCATTGCTCTGAGAAAGTAAGTAAACATTTTAGAAAGGCAAGGACTGTCTGCTGAGAATGCATCTGCTAGAAAGTGCTGGTTGGGAGCACTGCCTGGCAACAGGGTGCTGATGGCATTCCTGGACCATGTATGTTTTTAAACATAACCCTATCATGTTATGAAAATACTGAATTAATCTCAGGCATATAAAAAGCAAGCAGACCAGTTTATGATCTTATAAATTAAGCTTTTTTCATTGGAAGAAAGTATTATAGAGAGTATGGAAGGAAAGTATTTGCTTATTCAGTCTTCCTACCATATTTTTCAGACAAAGAATTTGATGCACAGAATAATTAACAAGGTTGGGTAGGTCATGGACTGAAACTTTATTCAAAATACCATACACTTTGCACTGTGCCATCACTGTCTTTGCAAATCTTTGCCAATGGCAGAAACTTGAGAAAAAAAACCAGCCCTTTTTGTAGTAAAAGGACATAAAGCAATACTTCTGTTAGCTTTTCCCAAAGGATAGAAGCTCTATGGTGTTTGTTAGGACTGGTCTTGAGCAAATTGCTTTGCTGAGAAGGAAAAGCTAAACAAAAGACCCTAAAGGTGAAGCTCCTTCATTAGAAGTTTGTTATCAGGTGCCATATGGGTATTTGTCCTTTAGCTCTTGACCAGATGACTAGCCAGTGTCCACTTGAGGAGTTACGTTTTCCTTCTTTTTCATGGTCACCTCCCTAAATGCCACACCCATCCTGCCTTTTAGATTGTTTTCCTTCTTGTTTTTAGAGTTTATCAGGATGTTAGCCTGCCAGGGAGGTTTTAGATGGGGAAAAAAAGTCACAAGTGCAGATACTGTAGTTTCAAAGGTCTCTTTCATATTTGCTGCATTACCACTTCATTTGTGCCATTTTCTTGCCAGTTTAAATGTACCTCCTTTTGGAAATGCTTTAATAATAAATATGTACCCTTCAGGAACAGCAGGGATAGATTATTCAGAGCTATCTGACAACTGGTATGTGCTGATGCAAAGAGGAAACCAGGCTTTTTAATCTCCATTTTCTCTGTTTATCATAATAGAACGCTTTGTTCTTTTTCCAAGTTCCCAGGCCTGTGTGCCAACCTTTGAACACAGGGTACATGCTCAGTCATTTCAGATTTCATAGTGAATTACCTTATAGTGTCACACTAAGACCAAAACAGCTACAGAAAAGGTAGAAATTAGAAGGAAACCTTATGAACAGAAACATTTTCTGTTAAATTATGCTACTTTCCAGTTTATTTTATATCTAAATTAATATCATAGGGAGCTAACACCAGCATGTAACACATTCACCACATTGTTTTCTGAGGCTCTGACCAACAGTGTGTATCTACATTTCAAAGTTCAGTCAATTTGACTTCTGCCTCTGAGAAAGAGAAAAGATGCCCCACTATTGCCTTTGGTGGGTAAGTGGTAAATTTCAGTAGAAATACTCTTCTATTTTTCACCATTGTGTCTCTAGGTACTAGATCCAGTGTCTACTATAGAAAAGGAACTCAAAAAAAGTTTGTTGAATAAATTACTAGCTATTCAAAAATACTCAAACTGTATTTATGCTAACAGTTTACATCTTAAACCATTATAAAGTGAATGTGTTTCTAGGAAATATCATGGGATTTTAAATTTTAGAGGTCTCTTCAAATGAAAGAATATTTACCTTGGCTGAAGGTAGAGGTGTCTCTGGAGCCTACTGAAATCTCTAGTAGATAGTAGTCAGTTAAGTGTGTTAACCAGTTTTTCTTAAAAAGATAAAAGGTATTTTGGCTCACACATTTGAAGGTTTCAATCCATGGTCATTATCCCTATTGTTTTGGGGGCTGTGATGAGTCAGTATATCATGGCAAGAGCAAATGGTAAAACCATTTGCCTCATGACAAGGAAATGAAAGAGAGGAAGGGGGCTACAATGCTGATAACCCTGTTTCAGGGCACACCCCCAATAACTTAACTTCCTTCCAGTAGGCTTCACCTCTTAAAAGTTCTACCATCTCCTAATGGTATCACAGGTTGGAAATCAACCCTTTAACACATAGGCCTTCGGGGAAACACAAACCTTATCCAAGCCATAGCACCAAGTACTGAATGCAAATAAGAAAGTGGCTCCAAGTAGACAGGGGACTCTACCTTCCTAGCAATCTCCACCATTCACCCAGCTGCTCTCATTTGTCTCACTCTTAGAGACAAGTGTTTCTCAATGGCAGCTTTTACTTAAGTGGGTTTGATAGAGCTGAGAGCACACAATGTGCCAAGCTCTCACCACTGCTATCTAGTGATAATCCAGCCTTTTCTACCAATTTCCCCTCCTCAAGTTGTACTCCACCCAAACCTGACCCACAGATTATATGAAACTGCTATCTCATGACTTTGATCCTATCCCATGCTAGGTGTATAACTGTATAAAATGATATTGCACACTCTTCAGTCTAGGAAGTTTCGGGGTCACTTTTAAACACAAAGGACACAGTATTAGGTAAGAACTTATTTCTCCAGGTCATGCCAGATAAGGCAATAGTTTGAACAAAAAGAAGTAGTATGGCATGGTTTAAAGAATAAAAGTCTAATATTGCCCTTCCCTTTCTAGTTATGTAGTCTTAAGTGAGTCACATGAGCCTCTGTTTCCAAAATCTAAAATGGTGATAATAATTGCTACTGGTTAAAGATGAGGATTTAAGCACACATTTATTTCCTTTCCCTCCTAGGACTCAAAATTATAGTAAAAGAACATAGAAAGTACAGTATCAAATACAGTTTAGAGAACATAAGGATAAGTGATTTGGGAAATTTCTAGAAGACAAAGTGCATGGAAGAACACTGAGTGGAAGAAGCTTTAGCCCAGGAGATGCTTACAAAGACCTGCAGAGTCTCCCGTGTAGTAGAACATTGCAGAGGCTGGGGACAAAGAACTTACTGGAGTGACAGAGACTGAGACAATGAAGATCTGTCTAGGAAACAGTACTTTTCCACACCACCATTCTAGCACTGAGAATCGCTGGCAACGAGGCATTTAACCTCAGACAAAGCCAAAACCAATCAATCAACAGCTAACCAGAATGGACTTTTCTACAAAAATTGAAGGACCTTTCAGAGAAAACTTGGGCAGCAAGTCAAAGAATGAATCAAAATATGTTTTTCTTAAAAAGACTCTACCAGAAAGACATAAGAAAAATATGAACCAAGTTAAAATAAGACATCAATAGACTTCAAGAAAACACTACACAAAGAAGCAAAAAGAAGAAAAAGAAAGAAAAGTAAATTAACCATGACTTTGAGCAATTGACCTGCACATGCTGAAATCACTGTGATTTCAGAGAAGGAAAATTCATAAAAACACCCTCTATGGCTTTGCTGTGATCGAAACTTTTGGCAAATATAATGTTAAAGCTGCTTATTGCCTGTTAGATTCAGCCCAAGGGCAAGGTATAGAAGATTTAACAATAGTTACAGAAGAGGAACAGAAATATTAACAGTCATGAAAATCTAAGAGTTAGAGCACAGCTGTAAAAAGTTTGCAGGTTGGAATTGCGTGGAGCTCAGTGGTAGAACACTTGCATAACATGAAGGAAGTGCTGGGTTTCATCCCGTGTGCATGTGCATGCACACACATACATACACACGAAGTTTGGAGGTAGAAGTAGAAATAGAGAATCCAAGAGAAATAGGAGTCCAAATGTCCTCCACTCACAAAACAACCAAAAGATACAGTCTGTACTTGATAGGATGAAAAACAAAAGTTTAAGGCTAATGTTGCTATAGTGCTAGTGGAACTAAAACTAATAATGCAACTATTGCATGTGTGTGTGTTTGTGTGTGTGCTCCTCTTTTCCTTGTATATGCCCTTAACTTAGAAGGTATGTCTAAAGACTTGCTTAGACTCAGCCTGAAGCCGTGTGGGGCAAACACTCACGGAGCTGTGTGTATTTGTGTCGTATCACATCAAGAGGCACAGTTGTGGCATTATTAGCCAGGCCATTTGAACACTAGATTAGGATGACAGTTCCAAGATCTCGCCACTGTAAGATATATGCAATGGGAAACAATTCTTGAGCAGAAATTTCATCTGTCTCTACAGATGAACGCTCCAAAATACCAGCTTAATCATACTTACACAGCTGAAGAATTTAAACCCTTCACAAGTTCAAGTGGTTGCCCATGACTGAGGTGGGGGAAATAAAAAGCAAGGAACAACTACTTTTTGTCTTAAGTCTTTCTGAGATAGACAGGTATTTTTACTTTGACAAAACAAAAACCAAACATAGCAATCCTTTACATGGCTATGGTGAGAATCAGAGATAATCTAATTTTTAATTGCTAGAAATATAACTGGTGAGTTTTTCTTATTGTTGCTGGGAGAATTTGCTCCCGGTGTTACTGAATCTCCAACCTCCCCGGGCACATTTTTTCCTTCTTTAGGAAGGCCCATTTTTTGCCTCTTTGAGCACCTACCCTCAGCTGCCTTGTCTCACCTACAGTTTCTCCCATTACTCCAG